AAAAAAAAAAAAAAACCCACCGAATCCTCCTTCCAAAGGGTAACAATACACCCAGAAGCACCCCAAGATGGAACCTGAGCCCAGCCAATGCCTCTCCCTCCCTAAATGCTCCTTACCCACCTTCTATCAATTTTCTGTAATTTTGACTCCTGGATCAGCAACAATACATTCATGTTGTTTCTTTAAATATTTGCGAAGGAATGATAGGATGATAGCAAATAAAATAGGAAATAAAAGAACAAAACAAAAGATGGCAGTGCAGGAGTTCTTTTAAATTTTCTTCAAATCAGAAGCGTGTTGGTGCAGAGTTGCCACAAAGGGAAAATTGAATATTCAAGTTTGCGCTCTTTCTTTAGAAAACAAGGTTGTTATTCCCTATCCTAGGCCTAGCTATCTAGCCTAATATTTTCTTTGTTTTCAAAATAAAGACTGTAAATTATATGTTAAATGTCATTGTTTTCTTGTATGATTGTAGTATTTATGAGATTGCATTAATATCTTAAACTAACTTTTTTATCAACTAGTCACCGCTTAGACATTGACTAATCATCACATCGACTAGAGAGGCCAAAACCACTAGTCATCTCTTCATCACACTGATAATACTGTTTTTCAGAAAAAAAAAAAGATACCCAATTATCAGTAACTCAAATTGCACAGAAAATGGAACATAAACTGTCCCCCTTCCCTAAGGCATGAGAAAAAGGAAATTTATTTAGAGAAATGGGTGAGATATACCAAAAATAGAATGCACCATCATACTTCACAATGACAACAGAAAAATATAAAATATAGAGCCTTCAATATGTACACAGAAAACAGTGATAGCTAAAAAAATACAAATACATCCAAGCAAGAACCAAAGTCACATAAAGGTAACAATAATGTTAACTGGGTTGAACTGACCATTCTGTGTAGCCGGGATCCACTGTGAAACCATATATGTCAACAATATCACACATGGAAAGTGCTAATTCTATAGATTTCATTCCAGTTCCTTTAGCACCTCTCCGAAGCACAATACCTTGGAACAGATAAACTGGATTTGGGATAGTCTGCATCATACATTACATTACACTGTTAATTCTGCATTAGATAGAGACATTTGGGTTAATTCGCTTATTAAGAGAAATGAATGGAATCTATTGCTGGTATAGGAAAATACACTTATAAAGAATGGTGCCAGCATTGGATGCCCAGCACCAATGTTTTCAGAAACTGAACCAGATATTGACCAATTCAGGGGGTGGCATGGTCCAAATCAGTTCAACCATTGGCACATTTCCTGTCTTAAGCTTGAACCACTTAGATTAGCACACATGTATAGACACATTTAATGTGTATCTAAACTTATCTACATTCAGTGATTTAAAAGGCGTGCCTAGGCGCATTTCAGGGTATGCGCCTCGCCTAAATCCTAGGCGCAGCCCTTTCAAAAGGCGCATGCCTGGTGCGCCTCAGCCCAGGCGTGCGCCTTTTGAAAATTTGGCGCTTTTTTGCTTTTTTTTGAACATAACGGCTGGGGAACCCCTGGACCCCCGTGCCACGCCCCTCGAGGCAAGCCCAAACAAGTCCACATTAGGTCTTAAATTCTTAGTTTTCACACAAAAAATAATGATTTTGTAGTTTTAATTGCTTTTTAAGAAGACATTTTATTAGGATGAATGACTGAACAATTAAAACTATAATTGGTAATGTTGTTTATTCACTCATCCTAATAAAATGTCTTCTTAAAAAGCAATTAAAACTATAAAATCATTATTTTTTGTGTGAAAACTAAGAATTTAAGACCTAATGTGGACTTGTTTAGGCTTGCCTCGAGGGGCGTGGCACAAAGGTGGTTCGTAGAATCAGGAATGTAATATGTTTTACATTACATTAGTTATGTGAAGTACGCCAATTGAGTGAAAAAAGAGATTAGAGGTTTTACATGCTTGAAAATGTTTTATATGTTTGATTTTATTTTTAAATTCTCATTTGAATATGCTTTACATCTTATGTTTATGTATTTTAATTTTAGATAATAGGTTTTTTAAAACATTAATTTAAAATTTAACTTTATATTTTTTTAGTAATGTTATGTTTAATATTTTTTTTTTGAATTTTCTGACTTTTTTTTTTATTTTTTAGCATTTGTTTTTTGTAATTTTGCGCCTTGCTTCAAAAAGGTGTGCGCCTCGCCTTGCGCCTTAGGCGCAAATTGACCCCTGCGCCTTTTTTGCGTCTTGCACTTTTAAAACACTGTCTACATTACAATTTGTATCTATACCTATATATAAGGGGCCAAAGGAAAGTTTGTCTTTTAATGCCCTTCTCATTCTTCAATTTGTGTGTGCAATATGTGTACCTTGTATCTAGTATATGTAACAAAGGACACTCCATTTCCTCAAATTCAACTGTGCTGGATGACAGGCCTCTTTACATGTAAACAAACACCTCTGCACAAGTTTCCGATTCAGATCTTCTGCACTCACATTAGTGTCCAATACTAATGTGTCATCATAGATAATTATATGGTTTCCCTTTACTATTTTTTTTTTCTCTTCCATATGATTGCATGATAAACTTTGCAAACAATTCAAGCTGCAGTGGTGGAAAATGACAATTAACAGCAGCAGGTGATCATTGTCATTATTGTTTTTTTGATAGATTGTCATAATTATCCTTGTCATTCCATCAAAGAGGTGATACCTCTACCCTACAGATTAATCCCTTGTTCAGACGGTTTAAAACATAGCATATGTGTCAGCCAATTAATTGACAAGGGATAGACAAGGATTCCAGAATAGACTGTTGGAAAATTTCTATCATGGCTGAGTGTACATAAATACTTTAAAGAAAAGAACTACAAGGGACATACTTTTACAACAGGATATATCATTAGAAATTGGGACAGGTAGCTGATTCATTATCATCTAAATCAGTCGCCATAGCTAGATGGCTTCCTCCTACAACGGGCTATATAAAGCTAAAGTTTGATGGCTATAGCTAGGAAATCCAGGTATGAGGACATTGGAGGAGTATTCAGAAATGAGGAAGGGAACACTTTTTTTTTTTGGCTACTAAAATAAGATTATTTATTGAAAATAAAAAGAGATTACATCAGGAGGAGATTCAAACCACATCTGTATACTCGACCATGACAACAAGTAGTAACATAATGTAAACATTATGAGTATGACTAGTATAGGAAAAAGAGAACAAGTTATTAGTTGACACAACAGAGCGCAAGTCGTCAACCAGGGACCTAATCTTCCAAGGCACCTCTGCAAAGTCCTTGAACATCAGAAATCTGATTATTGAAGGATATTCAGGGGGTGTACTTGGATGGATAAATGGAACTTATGAGATCTCATGGAAATACAGATGCACTGTTTGAGAAATAAAAAAAAAAATGATAGAGGAATTGAGAGGAGATGTAAATTGGATCCTACAATCTGCAAATGGGCTGGCAGATGGCTTGGCAAAACAAGGGGCAATGGGGGACAGTATGTTTTGGGGCCAAGTAATGTAAAAGACTTGGTGCTTGTATTTTGTTTCTTGGAGGGTGTTTGCTGAGGCTAACCACACTTTTGGGGTGTAATGTCACCATTGTACTATATCTAACAGCATTAATAAAACTTTTCTCCGTTGTAAAAGGGTTTATTTTGCTGCTGAAATCTTAAACTGCTTTAATCTGTTACCAATAAAAAGAAAGGAACAATGTGGGCATAGCAGTGTGATCTTCACCTTTATCATTGCATTGAAGTCTCTGTGGGTCAAACTTTTAATTATAAGAACTTCATCATCTGTAAAATAAAACAAACTCAGATTAACTTCAGAAATCACTATCGTATATGTAATTCATAATTATAAAAGATTAAGGCTCAAGAAGCGAGAAACTAAATTGCTAATATATCCTCTTCAAAATCAAGAAAGGTATGATCTAAATGAGTATAATACCTAGGTTACTAGACAAACCTATCAAGAGAAATGCGATGAAATGATCTGCCAAAGACGAATTACATCTTTCTTGCAATTTTTAATAGAGCAACTACAGTACTATTCTTCTTGATTGGCTCTCACAAGTTATCACTCTAGTGTATTCCAGTTTGCTTTTATAATTCAAATTCCTTCAAATAATTTCCTTAATGCCATAGACTAATTGGTCATCTATTTATTTAATTAGTTGCCAAGATCTTGCAACTCTCCAGATTTAACTTGAAGGGCATAAGAAGGAAATGAGACAGTGAATATAGTAGCCAGGGAATCGTACCAGGAATCAAGAGTTTTCTGCAACATGACAAAGCAGTAGTACATGGGCAAATGCAATACATGCAGGAATTTTCAATGCATATGCCAAGAAGGTAATACTCAGTTATTAATTAACTATATGTGACTTGTATCAAAGATGAAAAGAAAATTTTCTCAAACTCATATTACATTGCTTGCAGAAGGGGGTGTTCTACAACATAGTTGGTTTTGTTTTTGAAAACAAAAACAACTGCCACATCATCAGAATTATATTGTTTTTGCTGATGTGGCTGTTGTTTTTGTTTTCAAAAACACAACCAACCATGTTGTCAAACTCCCCCCAAATTTGAGGTGTAAGAACTTGGCTACTGGCTTGATTTGATGTCACTGGCAGTTCTATTTCATTTTCCAATATCCATCCAACAAGTTCAAGATCATGTGATTCAAACATGAATTCAGGGAATTAGGGTCGACTCATAGACAACTGAGAAGCCTGTGGCGAAATTTTATATTCTTGGATTATTTCAGTTCCTAAATTACAATTTTATTAGTCCTAGGATTTATTTTGGTAGCACTGGTTTTGGAGGTTTTTTTCTTTCCAGAAATTTATCTTTAAGTTGTAATGGGTTAAAAGGTATGATTTTTAAGTGTTTTTTTTTGATAAATTATGATTTTTAAGTGTTTTCTTTTAAGAATTCTAAATCATTATATAGTTTCTTCCATCTATAAATACAAGCTCAAGAGTTTTTAGAGTTCCAAAATTAGGAAAATCTACATCAGGTCTACAATTTGTTAGAAAAGAGAATTGCAAATTTGGTTATAGTTTTGATTTTGGCTTGTTGTGTGGCACTAATGTATGACATTCTGGAGGACTGATGCTTCTTTTGTTTTTTCCTAGGTGGGATGGTTACTGGAACATTCTATTTCTTGATAAGAGCCTAAAAATACTTGTTTCTGATATATGTTTATTATTCCTTTTATTTTTTTTTACTTTGATTTATGAAATTTTAGATCAAATGCATAGTTTGACCTGTTGGTGAGTTTGTTTGCCATCAATTCTCTTCCTCCAGTATATTATTACATAGCAATTTTTGATGAAATGCAAAGTGGAATTAAATGAACACTGATCACATTTGTAAACAAAAAGATAGTCTCTATCAACTGAATTTGCAAATTCCAAAATTTAGAGAACTTTGGTGAACTGGATGCTGATTTCAAAGGATTTTGAGGGGTTTAACTATGATCACTTCAAGCACCAATGAGAAGAAATATTTTTCAGTTCTTTTCATGTATGGCATTTTTACATGTAAATGCTTTCTCATGGTTTTGTCTCATTAACCATGGGTCAATGTATGGCCCTTCAGGGGTTACCGCCTTTTGTGGTATATTAAATCATACCATTTATCAAAGAAAAGGACATAGTACAAAATCATCAAGACTATACATCTTATGCAACTAAGGTGGAGTAAAATTCGTTGCCAAAAGAGGCTCTCTGCATGTCCACCAACTTAGGAACCAAAATCTATTTGAAGATAGGGGCTGTAAAAGCAGTACACGATTTTTTTGAAAAGGTAAAGTATTGTATTAATAATACAAACAAAAAGAGATACATCTGTAAGTCTTGTACATCCCATGAGAATATGTCTATATACCTTGTTAGCAAGAAATTAACAAGAAAGAAGAATATCTCTGACAAAAAAAATCTGTCAAAGCCCAATCCCTTGAAATCCTTATGAACAGATACAAGAACAAAGCCTTCCACTAATTCTGTTCAGTGTCGCATCACTATCAGCATAAATGTTTTCAAAAACACGATAGTTCCTTTCCTCCCATATAGACCAAAAAACAGCCATGTGAAGCATTCTTCAAACAGTTTTACCCCTACAATTGACACTGTTGATCTGCCAGCTCCATAAAAAAGCTTTAATAGACAGTAGAAAGCAGCCAACCCAGATAAATTTATGCAGAAGCAACTTTGACAACACTTGTGCAGTACAAGAACAAATGATTGCCAGTTTCCAACACTTCTGAATAAAAAACACACCGTTGCTGGTCCAACACCACTATGAAAGCAGTACACAATTGCTTTTCATCTTTCAACTTTCCTTTGAAAATTCTCCAACATAAAACACATGTGCCCCAACATACAACAAAAGGAATAAAACTCCAAAATAATCTTTGCTTCCGAGCTGCTTTCCTCTCTCAGGGTTTTAAAAAAACTCAACTTAGATAAGTTCTTATTAGGTAATCCAGGGCCAACCGAAGCAGCTGGCAGCTTTAGAGGCATGGGGAAGCCATTATCATGCTGTACACTAGGCCTTACTACAAGAAATTAGGTTGATGTTGTACGTTTTATTTAAGCAGTTTGAGATTTAGGAAGATGCCCAGTTTTATTTACTGGCTATGAACTAGAATAGTGCATGGTGTTTGAAATGTGTTGTTGGAAAGTAGGGGCTAGGTTCCAGAGTGAACAACTTATTCTGATAGGTTCCAAGGTAGGATATTGACAGCTTATGGTCTTGTAACAAGTTGAGCCTCAAGGAGTGAAGCGTACTGAGGGAAGAATTAGCATGACAGAATGCTCTTGTATTATTGCTTTTGATCCCCCCCCCCTATAAGCTTTGCTAATCAATCAAAGACTTCAAACAATCAACTTTTTCTTGGGTGGCTTCTATAGGAGCTTTTTGAGTTTAATGTTCCTCAGAAATCCAGTAGCTCTATACTATTCTATTTGGCCTACCATACATAAAGAAGCCAGAACCAGGAAGCCTTTCATATGCTGTTGTTACATTAGATATATTCCGAGCTTACCAGACCCATTGAGAATAGCAACCATGTTGCGTGCAGCACCTCTTACTACAAGACGGAAGTCCCTCTTTAGACCAACATGCTTGGCATATTTCTGCATTGTGCATAAAGGGAAGATCAATAATTTACTTAGTGTTCCTATAAGCAATTTGACTAAATCTTTTTTTTTTCTTTTTTCTATAGGTTGTTTGACATTATTTTCCACAAGATAGAGAAACACAATTTACTCATTTGGATCCCCACACATATAGAAAATAAGGTATGAAATTTAGTGTTGATGAGTTTATTGCTGGTCTAAATTCATTACCTGAACAAGAAAGAAACTAAATTAGAATCTATTCAGGATTTAATGGGTAAAAGATACTGAACAAAAAATTTGTTTTGCTAAAAAGAGCACCACATTGTTACGTTACCAAGTGATGCTATGCTAAAAGAAAACCAGCACCACATTGTTACTTTACCTCATTAACAGGAGCTTCATTGTCCCGTATTACTGCATCATGCTCGTCAATCTCCTCTCCAAATTCTGTCTTCAAAAGATCACCAGAATTTCCAACAACTGCACATGTCCGAAACTGACGGGGATGAAAAGGTGGCTTTGATGGTAAAATCAAATTGAGGTGCTCCTCACAAAGAGAATGGTTGTAGCATTTATCTGCTCCCCTACAGCAAATGAAAAAAAATTCACCATCATTCTTGATTCAATCTGATTATGACAATTTATGAATGAAACAAACAAGATGTGGTGTCTTACAATTGTGCAATCCTTTTTGCTGCATATTCTAGCCATCCATCTGGTCGTGCATCAAGATATTCTCTTGTCAAAACCGTAGTCATGTTACGGTACTGCGTTGCTGATGTTCTTAGTACATGTCATCACTTAAAGAAAATAAGTATGACAATGTAAGAGTTTAAATCCAACCTGTTCCCATAGTAGAATTGCCTCACAAACATCATAGTTGTATTCGAGGGGTTCAAAAATTTTAAACTGTTCATTGTACTGGGAATAGAAGTGGAAGAAATTAGACAGGCATATCTCATTTAGTTAAAGAAAAAAACTTATATTAAAAAACCAAGGAGATGCATGGGAAATAACATGGAATTCTGAGGAGGTTGCTTACCCAGGTGCTGTTTGTGCCTTCGGGAAATTTGAGGACTAATTTACAGTGGTCAACAATTTGTGCAGTGAGCCCAAGACCCCTGTTTGCCTATTTTCAATTTCAAGGTCAATGGAGGTTAGAAAAGAGAAGCTCTAACAGAAAAAGAATGTATTTCTATAGCTGAAAAGGAAGCCCATAATCAGATAAAGAGTCTGCCATTATTTGCGGGCAATTTAAAGTTTAAACAGTCAGATAAGTTGTAATGCCACAATGTACACATATGCATTTCTTAAGCTAGAAAATACTGGTATTACTGTAGCTAGTATAACATCAGCCTTCTCATTATATCTAGGCAAACATAACATGAAATATATCATCACAAACTTCTGCAAACTCCTTCAAATATACCTCTGCTAAGGATGTAAATGCCACCAAAAGGTTCATACTTTAAGAACTGGTGACATTCACCAACTCAGATGAAGGACCAAGTACCTACCTATCCCCACATGTGTGCATTTTATCCAAGAGAAATGATAAGATTGTCAAGCATTTATTTCTTTCAATGGATCCCCACCCAAAAAGTGCAAAGAAAAAATATTCTCCTTTACTACTAGCATCTGGAAGAGTTCCATGCCTTTGTTTAGGTTTAAATTGAGAACCTCCCCCAAAGAATGATAATGTTAGGCTTGAACCTGTCAGTTTTTCCAGTCCATCTAAAGATTAAGTTAACCTAAAGAGCCTTCAAAGCTTTTTTTTAGTAATGTGGTAAGGTCTCTGTCTGGTTGTAGCAGAGACTTGGGATCTATTCAGAAAAAACTGCTTTGCCTTGTGCTTTATGCTTTTGAGTTTTAGAACATCGGTATTTATCTTTCTAAGAGCCATGCAGACTTCAAATGTAGGCCAACGGAAAATCTAAGAGAATAAGTTCCAATTCATATCACAACTTCATTAGTCTGCTACAAATCCAAACTCACTAAGACAAGTCTCCATTATTGAACTTAGACCATTCAACGCTCCTCAAACCAGTACTCCACTCAAGAATCACTAATCTAACACTGGAAAATAGGGCGAATCACAGACTACAAAACTTCAACAAGCGAGTGAACGCATGATTCAAATTGTGGTTCAAATTCATACATTGAGTCACTGAATTTGAAGTTCTTAACGGTTTACCCTGTTTACTACTCTACGATCCAGAAAAATTTGAAGAACCACAAAGGCAATCATTAACTGTCTAAATGCTAAATCAAAGTATCTCAAAAAGAAGTAATAATTCAATCAAGCACGCATGGCAACGACAAACAATAATAAATAGATAAAACAAAGAAGATCTAATACGAACCACGCATTGCAGAACACTGGTCTGAAAATCAGTTAGAGTCCGAATTTCCTCTCTGTTCAGATCGTATTTGCGGTTTCCTACCACCAAAATATAGGTATAAGTAACAGTTCCCGAGATCGAAAAGTGGCGCTAACCGAAAGAAGAGAATAGCATATGTACGACTTTTCAGTGACCATTTTTACCGGAGAAGAAGGAAGTTTGAATAGCGAGAACAAGGAGGGAAAAAGCAATTGCAGCACAGATGAGAAGCAGAAAAGTGGGTCGCCTGTAATTCGAGGAGGAGGCCTTGAGAGGTCTCATAATCCCTTGGCAGCGAGTCGACCGAGTTGGATATCTGAGTGATCTCGAAGGGAAAAGGAAAATCGCGACGTTGCCAGGAAATGCGTTTAATTCATTAATTGGGATGCACCGTCACCGAAGAACGTGAACACGGTACAACCGAGTTTATGTATTATATAACGTAGTCAATGATCTAATCGACTTCCTACAGAATAGACGTTCAAGATTGGAGAAGTGGTTGCCCATCTCGCGTTCTTATCGCGCGTCCGCATCAACTCTTCCATGAATCTTGATCTAACCACACACTTTTTTCTTATTATTCTAAACAGCGCTCGGTGCCACTCTGCCAGGTCTTCTTTAGTTTCTTCTCTTTGCCGTTGTGTTGTAAAAGGAAACAGAAAACTGCTCGGAGTTGAAGAGGTTTTGTGAACTGTGTCYGTCATAGTGCGCAGTTGCATTAAGTTCAATCGATCCATCTATCCATTCTACGCGCTTTAACCGAAGATCCAGAGCACCGAAAACTTGAGTGTCTCCCTGTAAATTTCTCTTTCAGTATCAATGTCCTAATCTCGCTTCTGCCTCAAGCCGTTGTGACAGTGAGCTTTTTGTTTGTAGTTTTTATTTTATTTTATTAATTCACATTAACATCGATAATTGTAGATTGCATTTCCTTCCCATTCTGATATATTCTTGAACATAATATGCCAATTTCAGTGTTAAATTTGTACTAGAAACCACTAGTAAGAAGACGGGGGTATTGGGGTTTACTGGGTCGTTGATTTTGCTACCTAGAGTCATTGGAAGGATATAAAATCAAGCCTTACGGTTCAACTTGGATTTCTGATATGCCCGTTTGCTAATGTAAAAGATAAGTTGGCTGGTATAAAATCCTGCAACCTCATTAATATTGAACTATACGTTCGATCTCTGAACTGTTTTATCCTCTGGTTATTTTTATGTCTTCAACATTTTCATATTTATCTTTCTATTGCTGGTTACACGATGAAGCTCCATTCTTTTAGCCTCAGTATATCTTCAATTAGGTTAGGCCCTTTTCCCCTCTTCTTAATTGCTTCAAAAACGTCAAACTAAATTTAAATGAATTATAAATTAGAATGTAGAACCATTGTCACTGGTTAGGTCTCTGAGATATTCTGATTTTGGATTTTATATTCACCTTTACTTTTCAAATAGTCGAGCTGTTCAGTGTTAGACTATTATTGAATCAACACAGGTTTTGGCAACAGAGACTTTACCGGTTCCGCAAGCTGGTATCTTCAAAGAAAGCAAGGGAGAATTGAGAGATGAACCACTATAAAGAGGCTCTCTTAGAAAAGGAAAATGCAGAAAAAATGGTGGCCAACAACGATTATATAGGTGCCAGGGGCAAGTTGATGAAGGCAAAAGATCTATTTCCAGAGCTTGACAACATCAATCAGATGATAACTGTTTGTGATGTACTATGCTGTTCAAGCTCCAAGGTTACAGGGACTGGAGTTGACTATTACTGGGTTCTTCAACTCCCTCCCTCCATCGGCCAATGACTCTGATGTAAAGGCCCAGTATCAGAAGCTTGTCACCCTTTTGCAACCCATCAAAAACAAGTTCACTGGTACTGAATTAGCTTTGGGACTCATAAAGGATGCATTTTCTGTGCTTTCAGATCAAGAGAAGCGTTCTGCATTCAACTCAAAGAGGGAGGCGATCTGGGCAAGTCTTGGTTCTTCAAATTCAGATGAATCATCCAATCATGATATTGCAAGCTATGAAACTGTAGCTACTGCACATAGCCCTTGCAGATATGGAACATCAAGTGAGAATTCATATCGAAGTCGTGAAGATGGTATATCAAAAGAGATGCTTTTGGAGATGACCAGAGATCTGGGATTGACCCTGGTGGATAACTGTAATGTCCACGACCAACAGGAGAGAAACGATTTGCAAGGGGGAAGCTTCTCTGCTCACATAAACGCTGTAAGAAGTGGAGGTAAAGATAGACATGCAAAAAGTATAAATTTTCCTATGGTGTTGCAGTCTTCCAGTTCGCATAGGCATGCTTCATTGCTTTCAAAAGCTTTGGCTCCAGAAGGCCATAACCCAGCTTTTCGAAATTCTGAGAACAGTAGAAAGGCTAATTCATTTGAAGTGAGCCAGATTTTGGCTGTGCACTATCGAGCCAATGTGCCTTATCGATATGCTCAGATTAATCTGAAGTTGGAGTTTGAACTGATTGTCACATGGTTGAAACCTGTTCCTGTTACAGAAGATGAATGGAGATGGTATGAGGCAGGCTTGCCAGTTGCTTGTGGGACCTTTCATTTGGATCCAGAGTCAAGTGAAAAGCAGGTGCATGAGCCAATGCTGTTTTCCCACATATGCTCTTGGGATCATGGTGTTATAGAGGAACAGTTCGAGATTTATCCTAAGGGAGGCGAGGTCTTGGCAGTGTACAAGAATTGGGACCTATACGAATGGTCTCTCAACCCTGAAAATTTTCAAACATGCAGATTCAAAGTATGTTGGTGCACTCGGTGCAATCCTTGTGAAGATTGAGGGATTCAAAAGTGTCTTCCAAAGAAGCACAGACAAAGGAAAACCAATCTCTTTTCACATTCCCCCAAATAATTTATACATGTTTTCCCACAAAGTTCCAGCATTTAGGTTTATGGGTGGGGAGATGGATGGAATTGTAGATGGTACGTTTGAGCTGGACCCAATGGCATTGCCTGATGATCTGGTCAACCCTGAATGCCCAAACGACATGAATTCTAGCAATTGGTTGGCCATTCTTCCCCATGCCAATTTCTCTGCTCCTTTGATAGGACCCTATCCAGAGAATCAATCCTTGAAGCCCAGTTGGTCTGAACAAGATTTTACCAGAGGTCAGATATGGGCTGTGTACAGTGGTACAGATTTCACGCCTCGGCAATATGCCCGAATTAATGATGTTGTTTTAGTGAACCAAGTATGTGTGACATTCTTGGAACCTCAACCTGTTCTTGATCACGAAATCCAGTGGCACAGAGAAAACTTGCCCATTGTTTCTGGAATATTTAAAGTTGGTAGAACTACTCTTAACCTAGAGATGTCATGGTTCTCCCATTCAGTTAAGTGCCAACGAAGCATGACCAAGCCATTCTACAAGATCTATCCAATGAAAGGTGAGATTTGGGCCATGTACAAGAATTGGAACAACAAGTGGAAGCAGTCTGATTACAAAAGCTATCAATGTTGGATTGTCGAAATCCTTTCAGATTTCACTGAGGAAAAGTGCATGAGAATAGTCAGGTTGGTGGAGGTCAAAGGTTGTATGACTTTCTTTCAGAGGCAACGATATGATGACTTTGAGTTGACTCGCACAGTTTCACAGGCAGATATGCTTGCTTTCTCTCATCGAATTCCAGCTTTCAGGGTGCCTGGGGTCAGAAAATACAGCATCCCAGAAGCCTCATGGCATTTAGAACCTGATGCATTACCTCCCAAACTTAGCAACATGTGTTCCTAATACCCTCTTGGCACCATAAAAAAATATTTAAATCAAAGTTCTAATTCGAAGCAGGGGGCTTTTGTATAAAACTGCCTTTGCAATTTAAAGTTCATGTAAATTTGAGACATCCTTTGCATTCTGCAAGACAATTAAACAATAGGTCAGTGGATGAGGATGGGTCTAAGGCACTATTTTTTTTTTTTTTTTTGAAAAATGGTAATTATCAATTTAGCAAGCTGACCTCTTTAATTGGGTGAATAGGATTTAAAGAAAAGAGTGCCTCCAATTTGATTAACAAAGGCCAAATTTAACAATATGACAGATGGGGATTTAAACTTTTTTTTTTACGTCATTTTATATCTCGCATAGTGGCATGTACATGTATTATCTTCTTTATATAATTCAGTTAATTGGCCAGTCCAGGCCTCCAGGGACCCCTACCCTACACATCTATATTCAAGCCAATAGGAGGATAAAATGGTTTGTGGCAACAATAGTGCAACAACCGAAGCACTAACTGCAGCTCTGTTTGGGAAGAGTGCAAATGCGGTTCACTTTTACTAGTATTATATTTTGAAAATGACAGCAAATAAAGATTTAAAAACATGTTTACATTCAAAATAAAAGCAAAGTTTGCATTTGTTCTGATCATTTTTATATTTGCACACTTCCCGAACAGAGCCCGCATAAAAATCTCTTGACCTTTGTATTTGAGACAAAAAGTGCACTGCCGTTTATTCACTGATGTATAAGATGGAGACCATCTAATCTTTATATAGTCACCGCTTATAAGATGGTCTCCCCTTTATGCAGTGTGACAGCAGCAGATCCATGTGTACGAATTTCACCAAATTAAACCAACTGTCCAAAATTTCACTATTTCTTATTTTCTTTTTTTCTTGGTAAGGATATTTCAAAAAAAAAAAAAAAAAGACAGAACATAGAACATTTGGGGCGTATGGGGCGCACAAACAATGTTGCTCGTGGAATATTCCCAAGTCCTTGAGATCCTTCGCTTAACTATACCGGTTATTATGCACATCTCCAGAGAGGTATAGATTCTTCATAAACGCAAAGTTTATCTTCACACGCCATTTGAGTTGAAACTAATGAAATATTAGCAGGCATATCAAATGCCAGGACAAAGCCCATTAATAAACACTTTTATGAATGACCATTCAATACAAGATTTGTGAAAAGTACATGGAAGTCATTTTTTGTTTTGAGGAACAAATTAAATTTAAATGCTTTTCCAAGAAAATTTGTCAAAAGTTTTAAGTCATCAGGGATGAACGCTTCATTGCAACTTTCAAAGGTAAATCCTAATAAGAAACGCTCTTCTTTCTTCATCCTGTTCTCAAGATCCTCAATTTTCTTCATACAAAGAAAAAACCATCAAAACAAAGTATGTACTTCATCCCCAAAACCTGCTGATGAAGCCCTTCCTGTCTTTCTTCATCCTGCTTTCGAGGGATGGGAATTCAATTGAATTGAAGGCAATGTCCAAAACAATGGGATTGCGAGGAATAGCTTGAAATGCAGGAGGGAAGACATCAATGCGGGGAACTCCTTTGACGTTAGGATCATTGACAGCAGACTCGTAAGCATCAAGGTTCTCAAGGAGGAATTTCTCACTCTGAAAAGAAGGAAAAATAAGCAGATCATATATCAATTTTGTAAGAGAAACAAACACCATGATACAACTCCCAATTGGCAATTGCCCTAAATATTGACTTGCAGCAGGCTGTTTTTTGGCAAATAGCCAATAGCCAATAGATAAATTGCACTTCTTTTAAAAAAGCCTCCCAGTAAACCGTGGTGCTTGCTTCATTTAGCACATTTAATAATACCAAAAAGCATGCTGGCTCATTGAAATAGCATTCCCCAACCATCCAATCCATGTCATGATCTTATTGGTAGGAATGCCCTGAACTTCCAATTAGTAATTGCTCACTGATTGCCACACTAAGACATCATTCTGATGGTCCAGAAGATGCCTAATAATCAAATATTAGGATCATCATCCTGATCAGTTTTAATTGGGGAATGCTAGTGCAATATCTAGCTTGTTCACATTTTCTTGATCATTGTCTAGTTTGTTCACATAGATGTTATGTATAGAGGTGTATATCGGGCCGTGCCGCGGCCTGACACGATTGTATGGGCCGATGGGCCATCCCGGGCATGACCCATATATATATTTTATATATTTATATATAATACATATAATATATAATATAAATTATAATTATATAATAATATATAGTATATAATATATTAATAAAATAAACATTTTTTTGAATTTTATTATACTATTTTATTTAATAATTATATATATAAGCAATTGTATACATCAAAATTCATATAAAATTAAAACTTTAAGTTTTTTCAATTTTTTTAAATAAATAACTTTGGCCCGGCATGGGCCTTTGCGGGCTTGGGCCATGGGCCATGTCAGGCCGATCCCCCAAAATATCCCAGGGGAGGGAGGCACAACCCTTTTTAAAACCTCTAGTTATGTATACATCAAATCCCACACAATGAAAATTGCATGATAAAAAAAGTGCAAATCTATGTGGTCTGGCAAAGAGTTCCTCAAGGCAGTAACATGGCCATCCAAATCCACTAGCCTGGCCAGGGGTGTAGATAGCAGCTTATTTGCCTGGGTGGCCACCTTTACAGCCTTTTTTATGAACAGTTAAGGTAGGGGTGTACAACCGGTTGGTTCAGTTCGGTTAGAACCGAAGACCTAACCGACTATTCGGTTTTACCATCTCTCCCAACCGAACTGAACTGAACTGGACTACAATTTAGAACCGAACCAACCCTAACCAAATTCAGTTTGGTTCGGGTACGGTTTTTGGTTCGGTTTTAAAATAATTAATGAACAATTAGCTACTAATCTTTAATCCAGGTTTTAATGAACAATTAATACAACTACAATCATTTAATGAACAATTGAATGACTAATTATTAAAGCAACTACACTCATTCTTCACAAACAATTAATGAATAATTAATAATTAGTCAAGATTTTAATACTCTAGTTGTTTAGAGTCTCTAGGCTATTTAATTAACTATTACTAATTAAAAGTTGGAATAGGCCCAACCACCCAAAGCACAATGGGGAATTATGAATTTACCATTATTGCCCATTGGAAAAGATAATAATTATTAATTAATGAGTATAAAGTATTGAATAGAATATTATATATTTAATATACTTAATTTAATACAACCACTAATCGGTTTTCGGTTCGGTTCGGTTCGGTTGAAAATGTCAATCAAATCGAACCAAAACCGAAAACCGTTTTTTTTTAGAAAATAAAAACTGAACCGACCGATACCCGAATTAAACGAACCGAATTAGCTTATTCGGTTTGGTTTGGTTTGATTTTCGGTTTATCAACTGAATTTGAATACCCCTAAGTTAAGGTATTGTATTACTACAAATAGATAATTATAGCATGGGCCTCAAATACACCCAAGAAATGAATCAGCCTATACATATACACCAGAACACAGCTAAAGGGAAAGGATCCCAAATAATTATCCCCTTTTGCTTAACACCTCTTAACTGCCAGCTTTGCAAAAATGAGAAATGAATAAGGAGAAGCACCCCACCCAACCAAAAGTTTCCAGAACAGTATTCCACTGATTAACTGCAAACGAGCAGTGTAGAAATAAATGGCCCGCTGTCTCCCTGTTCCCTGAACAAGGAACAGTCCACATTGGCAGGAAAGTCCCCTTCAATCATAACTGTTCAGCTGTCTGTATAAAGATTTTACAGAGAACAGAACACTACTTTTCCACCTCCATCTCCTTTGATCAGGATTCCCTGTTTGAGAGCAAATGACTTGAATTCTTTGAAGCATTTCAACCAATTGGTTCATCTCCTGTTTGTTTAAGTTCCTCCTGAGCTTGGGTTCCAGCTCACCTGCCCATTGGCCATCACATAACAGTCTTTCACCAGTACAGCCCTATTTTGAGCTGCCATAAATAGAGACGGGAACATTTTCCTCAATGGATGCAGCCCACACTAGCTATCAGTCCAAAATCATACTGTGTTACCATCCCCAAGTTTATACTTAATACCCTGATAGTAGTCAGCATATACAGTTTCTGTCCCTCTCCATATAGATGTTGCACAGGATACTCTTCCATGCTCCCAACTAGGGATGATCATGGGCTGGGCCCAAGCCGGGCTTAGCACCTATGATAAGGGTTATAGCCCAGGCCTCGACCTGGGTCTGTATGGACCTGGGCTAGGTATTGGGCCTATGGGAATCAAGAAATGAAAATTTAATTATTTATATTTTTTTTGAAAGGTAAGGTAAAATTGTATTAATAAAAATTTAATTATTTATAAAAATTTAAATTATATGATGTATTACTTGGGCCCAAACTAAGCCAAACTTGGCTTGGGGAGTGAGCTTCATCCTAATTCCTAGGCTTGGATTGCCTATCTATAGATAAAGGCAAGGCTTTCATTCTACTTCCTAAGTCCTAACCAATGTAGGACTTGGGACAACACTCAATAGTGTTAAACTCATGTGTCAACTGAATAGTGTTACACTACCAACTCCTTTATAGCCTCTTTGGTGAAGAGTCTCTCCCTAAAGTGGTCAAAGGTTCAAAACTCAATATGATATGCTCGATACAACCCAATATGTGACAAAATTTTGAACCTCGGTTCCAAGTCCCACATTGCTAGGAATTAGAATGAAGGACTTGCCCTCATCTCTATAAGACATTGCCAAGAATGATCACCCCTACTCCCAACACAACTCTCTAATACCAAATTTGGTTTTGATTATTCTCCTCACTGAACCTCCAGTACCACTTGCAAAGTAGGGTTATGCTAAATTTCTTCAAACTACTAATTCCCAACCCCCCTACACTTATGGGCCTACAAACTTTGTCCCAAATTCCCAATTCACTAAACTGTTTCTATCTTCTGATATTTGTATATGTCAAACCTTTTCATGCTGTTATTCCCCCTTTTACCTGCCTTGATGGGGTTTATGACTTGTGCTTAGGGGGGTGATCATGGGTCGGGCCAGGCCCAGGCTGAACTTTGCACCTGTGATAAAGATTATATCCTGGGCTTGGACCTGATCCAGGTTCCAGGCCTATGTATTCCATGCATAAAATATTATATATATAATATAATATAAAAATAAAAATATTTTATATTATATGTCATATAATATGCATAAAAGTTTGTTTTATACATAATATAATATAAAAGTATTATATAATATGAACTATAGGTGTCATATTATAATGCTTCTTTGGTAAAAACATGTATACATATGTATAAATTATTTATAAATTACATATATAAATATATGCGGGCTGGGCCTGAAGTATTAGGCCCAAGCCCAACCCTGAATTTACAGGCCGGGCCTGAACACAAAACCTAGGCCCAGGCCCAGAATTTCTGGGCCAGGTTGGACCGAACTTTGTGGGCTGGCTGAAAATGATCAACCCTAGTTGTGCTACTCTCATTCATTATAAATACATCTCTTTGACCTTGTTTTTTGTTTTCAAACCCCAAACTTGTGGTGTAGGGGCAGATACCGTAAATTTATACAAGATAGAATGTTGTCTTCTTGAATGAATCTAATAATGTGCCCAGAAGCCCAGACTCCATCAAACAAAAAAAAAAAAAAAACCTTAACCAAGGCAAAAACAAGGTAATCCCATTTTGTCTTCTTGAATGAGTCTAATAATGCACTCTGGAAGGCTAGTCGTGGAACCGAAGAATATGATTTCTTGTTTATTACAACCCAGTTTCAAAGAGAATTGGTAACTTTATGACCTTCGTGAATCGTACGCCTCAGTTCAATCTGAATAGATGCTCTCGGTTCATCAATATTTGAAGCCCAATACTAAAGGGCCAAGGGGGTAGTGGATGTGGAATTCCTTTCAACAATATCCAATAAGATCCTAGAATTGGTGAAAACATGGGCTTCAGTGAACAATCCCAAAGCTTTTATTAGAGAAAAAGCTTCCACCACCAATTATTGGTCAAACCATAGTAATTTGCCTCTACCGCAATAACCCCCCATCCACCATGACTGGGATTTGAGGATCAATACAAAATCAGCCTTGTTTTCACATATTTAATCCTTCTTATGTTGATACAAGATATTTCATAAATAATTATTCACTCCCGCTCATCTTCTTCCAAAAAGTAATCTGGATGTGAAAGTTGCTGCAACCAACTGATTATTCTTTGTATTACCAGCTGAGAGAAACAATAGATAGCTTCCCATTTACAATTGTTTCGTTCTTTCCAACTTCTCCCAATGGCAATAAGGTATGTGAAGAGTTGCTCTCAAGTCCTCTTATGCCTTTCATTTTCCACATCTGTTTGAATCAATCCTTCAGAAGACGTGCGAATCTCACTATTAACTAGATCTTGTTGCTCCAACTTTTCATGCATTCTAAATATTCCTTTCCCTAGCATGACCACCTAAGAAGAAAAAACACCAAGCACCCATTTATTTATTGGCTCTGGGGCATCAACCTCAATGTCAAACATTTTCACTCTCAACCTGTGAGTCCTCTTCATCCGCTACTTTTATGCTACTATTAAACTCCTGTCCAGATGAACCAGTTAGCTGCTCTTGCCCCTCTGATCCTTAAGAAATTGGTTTTTCCCTGTATCCCTGGAAGAATCCCCTCTACTTTTGAAGCCTCTTCACCTAGAATAAACTTGCAAATTTTCATGTTTGACCTAAACCCTGACCTTGGGAACAACAAGAAATGTCTTTCCCAATGGAAGATCACACCTTTCTAGAAGTTGATGTGTTCAGTTCTCCAACAATTACCCATGTAAAAGAATTTCGAGGAATGCAATATTGATAAACAAGTCAGATACCTAAACTGAAGTGAACATTTAATAAATCTCTATCTATTTCTGTGTCCCATCTCCAAAAGAATAGAATACATTTGGCTAGAAACAAAGTTCTCTCCTCTCATTGGAAGTAAAGAAAAAAAAAGACAAGGAAAAAAGCCCTACTTCCATGTACCTCTCCATCCTTCTCCAATCATGCTACTATTGATTTGTACCTCTCCATCCTTGATTTGTACAGCTTCAATCCCCTTTTATATCAGTTGCCCTCTTACCTCTCAGTATTGATCCTATCCACCATAATCACCTGTTCAATATTCACAACTGCACCATACTCATCACCACTCTGAAGAACACTTCCACCCTCATCTGCCCCTCTATCTCTCATTTCTTCATTCGAGATTACCAATTGCAGAAGTGTCTCTCATCCCCTGGCTGTAATGTTAATGTCCCCATTTTCTTTTTCTTTCAGTAGTAAAGTACAGAATGAGAATTGGTAAGAACCCCATTTTCTTACCTTCGTTCAAAAATACTGGGACACAGGACCAGTTATTAATACAATCATACTTTACCTTCTTTTTTTTWAAAAAAAAAAACATTTTCTTAAGCTTGATAGGCTCTTTGATAACTGATCTCACCACATCATTTTGGATATGACAAAATTTTAACTACCTCTGTACCATCTAAACTAAAAAATGTGAAGCTTTTAAAGAATATTGAGATCTCACCAGAGCACCTGGCTGATTTTCGTTCTCCCTTAAGCCTCTCCTTAACCAAGACTGATCAACCTGACAACCACTTTCAGCCCCATATTTAACTGCACAAAAGTAACCCCCTTGGCCCTCACTCCCAAAAGCTTCTTAACCAAGACTGGGGGATAAAACTTCTCACCATCCTCAACCCAGAGTCATTCATGTCTGCCGTCATCCTGCTTGCCAATCCTCTTCTCCAAACCCAGACTTTCAATCTGAACCCCAGCAACACTAAAACAACCCTTTTTCCTACCTTGTGAAGAAGCTATACTCGTATTGCCATCGCTTAGGGGGATAGCTAGATGTTCTGAGCTCTTTTAAGACCCCTGAAGTCAAACTCAACTCAACAAAGCTTTGTTCCAAATTCCAACAATAAGGAGTCAGCTACACAAAGCTTGCTCCGCCATTTCGTTCTGTTCGGTGTCATRTCTATTGTTAAACTATCAGCCTTCAAATAATTTCCCATTACTTCAACCAATGTCCTTTTTTGCCTACTCTTGGCTCTTCTAGATCAACTTACAATAGGTCAATTCTATGCATGTGATCTAATCATTGTAAATTACTTTCCATCATTTTTATCACCTTTTCAGGAAACTCCTAGATCATATTTTCTAGTTTTCTCATTATCTATTTGCACCTCTGCTACGTTTTTTTTGGTTATATTGTTTCTTTTCTGCTCAATACACCTTACCATAACTTTGTTGGCCTGGTAGCTGGTATATATATATATATATATATTGATCAGCAACAGAGAAAAGATTTGTTCTATAAAATTTTCATTTTAGCAAAAGTGGGGGTATTCTCCTATCACATAAGATTTAGGACTCCAAAAGCACCCCTCCAAGGTAATGAAGGAGTTCACGCATAAGTATCTCTTGGTCTCCTATCTTAATTTTACCCCAAGTCTCACTCCTTTTTTTGATGAATACTATCACTCGTATTATTGTTGGATTTGCTTTGTATGTGTTCTGTCAAAATTAAACTACCATCTACAATACCAAAATATTTGTACAAGGATGCTTTAATGTGTTGGATACTTCAAAATATTACTGTAAATTCTGTACCAACACCATGTCCATTGGTGTCCTTGCCATATCTGTGGGTAACACAGGCTACCATCATACTTTTCAAGGCGCCAAGGTGAGGCTAGGCGACGGGGGCGCCTTGTCGCCTAGTCACCTAGGCGATGGATTTTTTTAAGTAAAACCCTAGATCCTAGGGTAGTTCCCTAGGTTCCATAACCATCTTTCCTTAATAATTATTCATAACTTTCATAAGAAAAGTATAAATTTCATGTTTAAGTCTAGAAAATCAACATTTTATGAGAAGAAAAAGAACAAAGTAAAGAAAATTCAAAAAATATAGGGGCTGAACCCCTACTTTTGTTATAGGAAAGAAGAAAAGAAAAGGTGGAAGAAGAAGAAGAAGAAGAAGAAGAAGAAGAAGACGTGGAAGAAGAAAATGTGTTTGATTAGACAAAATTTTGAGTTCCTCCCTTGCTTATAGGTTCAGGTTTTGAAATTTTTGAGGGTTCAATCAAGGATCAAAATTTCGATATGATATGCCCCGTATTGGGTGTATTGTATTGTATCTTTGGGGTCCCAATACCTGTTTACAGGTGTTTTCGGAGACCCATTTTTTTAAATAATATATGTATATATTTAAAAATGAAATTGAAAACCAAAGAAATAAAAAAATAGGGGGAGTATCATTATAAGTACCGATACACCTCTGCCAATACACAGAGGTGTATCGATACTGTGAACCATGGGCTCAATACAACAGTTAGCAATGTTTGCATTGATTAAACCCTAACAAAATAAGAAAATAATAAAAGAAATTAGATATAAACACATAAAATGAATATTCTAGTTTAATGTCTATTTTATAATTCCTAAGCGTCGCCTTGACAACTATGGCTACCATATAACTGTATGATACCTTCTTTACAGCTTCAGTCAATGATATTGTAGAAATTCCTTTGGCAAGCTTTTCTGGTGTCTTCTCCTCCTCCATAATCCCTGCTGCATGCTCTATACAGCTGCTTGATCTGCAGTTGTTGTATAACATCTTCAACTCTTGAGCCAATGCCTGTAGAAAGTCAAAAAGGATGTAACGAAAGAATTTTGCAGCATTGTATACATTATCAACTAGAGTTACATATCTTAAAAATAATATGCATAAGCTTATTTTGGTAGGAAATAGAAAATAAATATCATAAACAATGATTACAAAACATATGAGTGTTGAGTAACACTCATTTCAAGAGTATACCAAAAAGTAACAATATCAAGAGTATACCAAAAATTAGATAAAAGATCTATCCACATCTTCAAATTCCAGGTGAGGTTATACCATGATATCAGCACATTTAGCTAAAAATTTAGAATAAGCTTTAAATATGTAGGATGGGAAAGAGCAAAGTCCTATGCTCTTCATAGGGTGGAAAGAATAGGAAAATCAGATCTAAGATGAGATGAAGAAGTAGAAGGGTTTCTATAATTAAGTTCTATACTAGCCAATTTACAAAAGCCATAGTTATAGACTTTACTATTTCAAATAAGATCTCAAAATTAAAGAGAGAGAGAGAGAATAAAATATAAACACAATCCCGTCATCCACTGATACTTTGCCAAAAATGGCCATAACTTTACTGATTTACGTAGGGTTCACAAGATCTTGGTCTTGTTGGATAAGTAACTCAAAATCTTTCCTAAAGACACTATTTATCAAAAAATAAAAAAATAAAAAAAACACCTACCTAAAGACACTAAAATCAAGTAAAATAGACATATTTTCACCCCTGAAAAATAGCTCTAAAGAAAAGTGATATGATTCCAACTTAGGATCCAAGAAAATTTCGTGGGTCCCATTAAACACATCAAGTCAAACTAAATCTTCTAGACACCCTAAATCACATTTTTAAACTGATGATACCCATTGGGAAAACAATAAACCAAAAATATCTATAAATTTAAATGTTAAATAAAATTATAAAATGACCTGAGACCTTGGGAGGGGTAGACTGGATATGGTCCAAAACTTCGGCATTTTTTTACAAAGTGGTTGTTCTTAGAGACAAAAGCAATCTCACACTCGCCAGCCTTGGATTTTACCACTACACCAAGCAATGGCCCCAAATTAAATTAAAAACAACAGCACCAATAACAAAGTGAATATTTTCAAAGTACCAACCCTACCAATGCCACAAGACCATGGATCTCTCAGACAGGACCTCGCCTAGAGATCATTTAGGCCAGTTGGACAGATAAAGGCCTCATGGGCCCCATGAAGAAACACCAACTTTCCTGAGAACTTTGTAAGTTGTAGATTTTATCCCTGTTTCTCTCTTTTCCCTCCTTTCTTTCACAGTCAGCATAAATGAAATCACCATGGATATTGGCACTCTATGATCATATGATCCAACAGGAATTGATCATAAAACAACCAGTAGCACACATCAAGCTATGCAATTGCAATATGCAATCAGAGCCACCACATGTAAGATTCAGATTGACCCATTTTTTCATCTCCTAATATACAGAAAATGCATCTCTATGTGTATATGTTTTCCTTCCTCGTACCTTGGACTTCCTTTAGGGGCAAAGAGTAATTCAAGCAGCATTTGGAACCCTGTCCTGGAAAGAGTTGACAGGAAACTAACTTCTTGGAAAGCTCGTTCTCAAAGGGGGTAAACTGGTTTTGGTTAAAAGTGTGTTAGCTAGCCTGCCAACATACTTTATGTCTCTGTTCCTAATGCCTACTGAGGTAGTGCTGAGAATTTAGAAAAAAAATGAGGGATTTTTTGTGGTCAGGGTGGAAGGATCCCTCAAAATACCACTTGGTTAAATGGGACGAGATTGTAAGCCTATTTCTCAAGGTGGACTTGGGATAAGAAAAGTGAAGCTTTTCAACTTAGCACTATTGGGAAGCTGGTTCTGGAGATTCCCAATTGAGACTCAGGGTTTATGGAGACTGGTAATTGCGGAAAAATATGGGTTGAATGAGAATGGATGGGATGCAGGAGGGTCTCAGCAGTCTTACAGGTGTAGCATCTGGACAGGCATCCAAAAGTTTACCCTTTTTTCACCAGAGGGATTTCTTACAGAGTGGGGAACGGTAGGAGACTGAAAGTCGGACTGGATCCTTGGTGTTGCAACTCCTCCCTGAAAGAGAGGTTTCCTGATCTGTTTGTTGCAGCTGAGGACAATCTGATTTCAGTTGCAGATTGTTTTGCACAGGAAGGTGGCGTTACAATCTAGGCTCCTACTTTCAGAAGGAATTTTAATGACTGGGAGATGGATCAAGTTTTCAGTATTCAAGCACAATACCCATATCTGCTTTTTGAGGCTTCTAGGTGCTGGTTGTGGTCTAAATCCTGGTTTTTCTTAGTTAAATCATTTTACTTGAGGCTGGTGGGGAGTAATAGTCAATCTTTCCCTTTCAAAGCCATTTGGGAAAATTCAGCTCCTATGAAAGTTAAAATTCTTTTTGTGGGTGGCTGCAAAAGGGAAGTGTCTCACCAAAGAAATGCTGCTAATAAGGAGGGGTTTCAGCCTTGCAGATGTGAATTGTCCTCTGTGCAATATGGTACCAGAATCAGCAAACCATCTTTTCATTAACTGTGGCTTCTCGGCAGTGGTGTAGCAGCACTTTCTTAGAGCAGCTAATCTGGTTTGAGTTTGGCCAGAATCAATCCCCTCTCTATTACAACGGTGGAAAGTCCAAGGTATGTCCAAAGAAAGGAAGCTTGTGTGGTCTGTGATTCCAGCTGCAGTTATGTGCATGGTTTAAAATGTCCCTAATTTCCCTAATATTTCCACCACATATTTCCATTTCCATGGGTAGCGACACGAAATTTTACCGGAATCGACATACACTACCAGCACTATGTGGAGTACAACAAATAGTTTCCACAACATATTTCCATTTCCACTTCCATGGGTAGCGACATGAAATTTTACTGGAATCAACATATTTCCCAGTGAACACTACCAGTACTACGTGGTCCAAGAGATAGTATTATAACATAAGTTGGTATAATATTGTAAATATGTTAAGTAACAATTTTATTGTCCGCCTAACTTACATGATTACCACTTTGAACTAGCTCAATATTCATTCCAAACATGAAGTTAAATATTAGTTTTGTGTTTGTATAATAGATTATTTGGTTGATCTATTACAATCATTTACACTTTCTATGAGTTAAAATTTTGCTTTAACTCATTTTATCATGAAGTTCTGAATCTTAAAGTTTACAGGGCAACTTCAGAACATATTCTTTTGTCTATAACCTTAGTTTTTCTTAGCTTTGTTTAATGATTTGTAACAAGATAATAATTTAACAAGGTGTGCCTATACTTCTTTTATCATTTCATAAAATATATTTCTATATTTTGCATATTTTAAAATGTTTCCACCATGTCTATAATTTTTACAATATTTCCATACGACATTTCCGACAAGTTTCTTATATTTGGATGACCGACATTTCCACCGACGTCGACATTTTAAACCTTGGTTATGTGGGCAATCTGGTTAGAAAGGAATAACAGGTTATTTAAACAGAAAGCCAAATCTGAGGCTGGGGTGATCAACTTTGTAGTGGAAGAGCTGAGGAGCTGGTTGTCTATTTCTGATGTGTTTAGCTCCGGTTCCTTTTTGAGGGTTAATTTTTTTGGGGGGCTCTAATACTTTTGTACAGCCTCTTGTACAGGTCTTTATACTTTTGATACTTAATACAATATTTTACCTTACCTTTTCAAATATCTATATATATACTTCAGGTTGAATGGGATGATATGGCCTATGGCACATGATTTCTAGTAGTCACCACTCACCACATCCCTACCTTATAATGGCCAAGATTTGATTAGCTTTTCTTGGGATTTCCTCTTTAGTAATGCAATCATTATCCATTCAGAAAAGCAAAAAGAAGACATTTATTTATTTATTTCACACGTCAAATAGAATACATTTATAATTCACATGAGAACAAACCTTGTCAGCATTGTTCATGGTTTGGAGTTTTTGTAAAGTATTATCAGCAAGAGAGCGAGCACGACAGTATAATTCATATGCCTCGGACCTCTTTCCAGCCAAACTGTAGGACTTCGCCAAGTAGAAGCACCTGAGGAAATATTTGGAGACCATTAATCAAATTGTGAAGCATTAACTTGAAGAATCACATAGGGATAACATCAATTTATATATATCCCTGCTATGCCATATAGCCAATAAACAACCAGCATAAGTTCCAATTTGACCATAAACAGGATTGCAATGAATTATTAATATAATTGGAAGTTCAAAAGAAAATGATTGAGCAAAAATACCAAATGAAGAAATATCTTGTCAAAATGAAATGGAAAGAAACTAAAACAAAAAAAAGGCATGGGAGGCATACACCTGGAGGCTCTGCCCCCCCCCCCAAACACCTTTTTGATGCAGCCCAAATCAGTTTTTGTGTTAGGGGGTCCTGCAGTCCTGCTCCGCTTTGACAGGACCCCCCTCTCAGCTAAAATTATGCATCTTCATTCTTCTTAATACAAGACATCTTTCATAAAACAGAAGCAAGAAAAACAAGATGAGATCTTCCTTCTTCCTCCTCTTATTGAGGAGGCTTACACCTCTTGCATTCTGAACTACGGCCTCATGCCTCCAGGTAGTGGAATGTCTCATGTCATGCCTCCACATTTTAGAACATTCCAAATCACGATATGAAGTTTCCTATTGATCAGTAATGCAATAGAAAGTCATTTCATCATTTTCAAGCATGCCTTAGGTTGGGCAATTGATTGAAAAAGAAAGTGCAGAAGCAAACCAAAACCATACAAGGGAAGGCTGATAAGAAGGATTGTGTATATGGTACCCTGTTTATAACTATTTTCAGAAGTCAGAACGAAAGTGCCAGTTTGCTTTCTAGTAAGGTCCCTAGCTGGTTATAACAGGGACTTGGGATTGAATCCCACCTTCTCCAGTGTTGGGGGTTTGGGGGTTTGAAGAAGTCAGAACAAATTGGTGGTGAAATAGAAAGCAAAAATACCCTGACATTTACAGGAAGATGCATGCCAAGTTTATGCCTATTTAGGGAGTAAATACAAACATCCACAACTAATGTTTTAACACTGGCTAAATAACTATTAAGAAAGCTAGCACAGTAAGAGAATGTTGCATCTCTTCTGCCATATTTTTCGAAGTTATGTTACAACAAAATATGCAAAGGGTCCAAAGATGCTAACATCCATAAGTATGGAAATACCAAACCATTCAAGATAAGAATATATTATGTAAAGAAGTATTTTGCAAGTTCAAAAAGATGGTGGATAAGAGGGAGCAAACCTTTCTGCCCGAAATGCAGAACCCTTAAGTGCACATTCTTCAGCAAATGCCACTTCTTCTGGTTTTCTGTCTCTTCCAGAGCTAACTAAATCAGACAGATCAGTTGTATTCTGCCAATAGAAATAATAAGATGCATAAAGTTCATTGAATATGATTGCATCAGGGTACGATGGTATAGCACATCCATGGTATATCAAGGCCATCTCCAAGTAAACAGAATATCAGAATAAAACTTCCATATACCTGTATTAAAAGGTCATATAAGCGAACAAGTTCCTCAGGTTTTGTGACTTTTTCACCTTTGTCATCACGATGTCTGGTAAATTTACTTTTAGCAACTTTAACCAGTAACTGGTTTCGCTCTATTGTGCGCTGACCCAAGACTGCACTAACAGCCTTATCAAGACCATTCAGGTCATCTTTCACATTTTCTGCATTACCTGCAGTGACCTAAAATAGGAATATTATAAGAAATAATAACAATATATAGGATGTAAGAGTAAAAGATGTCAACATATTAACAAGAGACAGATAAATACTTCCTAAAAAACAAGGACAGAAAATTTTAAAAAACAAACAAAGGTTCTGAAAAGAAGTCCTTTGCAACATAGAAATGCCAGTTATAGCCAAAAACCAAATACTCCATACCAAGTCAGTGCGGATGCAGCTCCGAGCATCATGATATGCAGCAAATATTTTGTCAAAAATGACAAGCTTTTTTTCTGCAAGCAATGAGTCTCCTGCTGCACCATTAAGATCTTTCTCCAGCTCTTGAGCTGATCAAATACATCAAAGATATAAAGTTTCAGAGGAGTTCACTTAATCTGACAGTAATGAGCAATAAGAAACCTTCTTAGTGTTGAAATGACAATGCCTTTAGTATATTCATTGACAAAGAAAGCCATAGAGGGGTAACCCTCACCCCCCCCCAAACAAAAAACAAGACAAAAATAAAAGGCTTCCTCCCTTGAATACACAACTAGTCAAACTTAATAAAGAGAAAGACCCTGTTCTATCAAAAAATAAAAGAAGACTTCCCCCTTTGAAATGATGATGCCTTTAGTTTATTCTTTGACAAAGAAAGCTATGTAGGAGGAGCAACCCGCACTCCCCCCCCCAATGCGCGCATACAAACAAAAATAAAAGAAGACTTCCCCCTTTAAACACACAACTTACCCCATTCCATTAGAAAACAAATACACCACATAGTGGTATGAACTAGGTAAAAAGGTATCAAACTTAGGGGTTGCAGCTAGATGTTTAAAACTGATTGAACTGTACCACCCCACACTAATGATAATTAGCTTTAGCAGATCAAAGACTTCAATTTATGGATCTTCCTCAGTTGATCACCTATCTGCAGTCAATGATCCTGAGAAGGGATAAATCCTAAAATTGTAAAAGCCAAGTAAAACAATAAAAAAAGTAAAAGAATGATTTTTTAAGAGAAAATGGAAATGACAAAGGAAAGAAAAGGAATAAGAGAGGGGAGCTCGCTTTTATGACAAAGAGAGAAACAATGTTTTTACAAATAAAAATACATAAATTATTTATACTCATCTTCCAGCAATACAACAGCATTCAAGTCAAGAAAACTACACAAACCTTTCTTTTTTTTTTTGGATCAATACCATGAAAAACTTTATTAAAAAGAAAATTAGATAAAACTTTGAGGAGAAATTTACACAAACCTTTCAAAATGGATACTCGAGTTTTAGGATTGGAAATTGGAAATCTATGGCCAAGCCAGTGAAAGTCTGTCATGGACGCTGCTTGTTGTGATCTTGCCTCAGCCATAACAGCCTGTGAATTGAAAACATAAAATTATCAGGACCATTGTTCAAACCTTGATAAGAAAAGGGGGCAAGGGAAAGATGCACACTGCATTCTTAACACAATGGTCTAACTTCAAAGAAGCTTAAACTGCAGCTACCATAAGCTTGCCTCAGACGTAAAAATCCACCATGGAAATGTTTGATCTAGCAAGACAAGTAAACAAAGACTTCACTCTGCTGGGTAAATGGATATTGGATCACCCAGGAGCAACATAATCTATGGCGCTCCATCATCAGAAACAAATACAGATTGCATTTTAATGATTGAGTCTGGTTCCATCCCCTTGGAAGGTTATCAGCCAAGTTCTCCCAAATGTTTTTTTTTTTTTTTTATAAATCCAAGTTCTCCCAAATGTTTGTCAGCATTTAACATTTGATGTTGTGTTTAGGGAGCTTATCAAAAAAAATGTTGTGTTTAGGGAAAACATTATATTCTTCAAAGATGATTATGGTTGCTTCTTAGGAGTGAAGTCCCTTTAAGGAAAAGGTTTTGCAAACTCTACCCTTGGTTGAGATTAAAAAGCATCACAATGTGGAAAACTAGCAAGAGAATGCATGACAATGAGGATGTAGAAGATGCCAAATATTTTGCRAACTTTACTCTCTTTTTTTGGATCAGTGAAAATTTTGCAAACTTCACTCTTGATTGGCCAATTTTCTTTAAATCTTATTCAAATTAGGAAAATGGCCAATGCTCTTTAAGTCCAATTCAAATTTGGTTCAGCATATTGGTCCAAGAGAACTAATTAACTGAACCATATAACTTGAGCTGATGTTGATATGGTAGAGAACACAAAGAAAGCAATGGAATGGACTATCAAAATTTGAAAGAAGCTCCTTCCAACTAAGACTTCCCTTTAAACTTCAATGGAATGCAAGTTAGAATCCATTTGAAATGCAACTTTCAAAAGGTCACTTAACTAGATTCAGATATGTCTTTGTCACCACACACACACACAGATATATATTATAAAGATACATAGATATATGCATGCATAATTGCATACATGCATGCATGCTTTTTTTAACAAGTTACATGTATGTATGATTAACATAAGGCATAGTTTGTCATCCACTACAAAGGCCATTACCAATGCTGGTCCCAGCCATCTGGGGTCTTGGGAAGAGTAGAGTGGATGTGGTCCTAACCTTTGGCATTTTCTTGCACAAAAAGGCTGCTCTCAAACTCAAACATGTGTTCTCACGCTTACCGGCTCAAGATTTTACCATTATACCAAGTAATGGCCCCTTTGGAAGTATCATGATGAACTAAAGAAAATTAAATGGTTTTCTAGGGAAATGGATGTGAGATTCCGGACTTTCCAGTGGGTCCAAAGGGCAGCTAACAATATGGCTGACAACTTGGCAAAACAAAGGGTTGGGAGAAATCAATTGTTTGGGGCTCAATTGTAAAGATTTTCAATTTTGGAGATGATCCATTTTATCACCATTTGTATTGTATTCTTCCTTTATCACTTTAATTAATGAAAATTTTAGTCATTGATCAACATTTGGACTCTCTCCCACAACCTGTCCCTATCTTTAGACATTCTCTAAAGCCACTTTCCCAATAAGGCCAAGTTCCTCTTTTAAATGTTCCTAATTCCGAGTTCATCTATTTTCTTACTTCTGCTAACCACTTCCTACTAGGGATGGCAATTTTCCCCATTTCCCCGATCCCCGTGGGGATCCACCCCGAATGGGGCAGAGAGATGGGGAAATTTTACGGGGAGAGCACTCCCGGCCCCATGGGATCCCCACTAATATATATGTATATATGTATGCATACGTTATACATGTATATATGTACACATACGTCTATATATTAAAATCTTTAAAAGTATGATCGAATATGTTTGAATATTTTCTAATAGGATTGTAAATTTTAATTATTTCATTTTTATTTTTTAAATAAAATAAAAAACAAAATGGTTAACATTATAAAAAAATTACGGGGAATGAGGATCCTTGTGGGGACGGGGATGGGGATAACCTTGTCCCCGTTTGAGGGGACGGGGACGGGGACAGGGACGGGGATGGGGATTTTCGCGGGGACGGGGATGGGGAGAGGCCCCCCATCCCCGCCCCACCCCGTTGCCATTACTACTAACTACTTAATCTTATGGTTCCTTTTTCCTTCCTCTAGTTCTCATAAAAAGTCCCTCATTTTCTTCTCCAATTTTCTCCCCACACCTTCTCCAATCTAAAAAACAAACAAAAAGTACATAGGAAGGTTCGATAGAGTATACCTAATCAGGGTAATCTACCGCCTAACAAGAGGTAATCCTGCTTCCAAGATGCAAGCCTTTTAACAAATCTTTCTTATGACAGGATTCCAAAAAGCAACATTCTTTGGATTATCTCCCAAAGCTAGACTCAAATACTTCAAAGGACACTAGGACACCACACAACCCAAAATATTTGCACTAGTTGTTATCTCCCTCTCCTCCATATTAATCCTCACCATGCAGCTCTTATCAAAATTAACCTCAAGGTTTCACATTTGTTCAAAAATTTGCACAACTAAATTCAAACTCCATACCCACCTCATATCATCTCCTTCACAAAATAATATCATATCATCTGTAAACTGCAAACGGGTAATTGGCACACCATTCCTACCTGTTCTCCAACCTCTCAATAAGTTTCTTGAATCAGCCCTAGAGATAAATCTTCTGAGGACATCTGCTATAAGGGTATAAAGGAAAGGAGAGAAAGGGTCCCCTTGTCTAATCCCTTGTTAGGCTACCTTGGAATTTTTAAATTGTCATAATAAGGTGGTAAACCCTAGAGGCAATCTCTATTTTTCATATGTTAGCAGGTTGTTAGTGTGCCATTTGGTAGCAACAATAGGATGCACTCACTGGGTAATTTGATTTTAGTTTGATTAATAGCACATATGTATTTTATTAGAGGAGCACGAGTAAGTGCTGTAACCATGTGAACACATTGAAACCAAATCACCCAAACAAGCACTCACTTGGTGATTTGGTTTTTCCTTTCGTCGATAGCAAGTCTTGTACTCTTATTTTACTGGAGGGCCAAACAAAAATTGTTGTGACCAACTGACCATGTGAACCCATTGCTTCACATGTTGAACTATCCTTGTAGTTCTTGATTGTCAAATTAAGGTAGTGGACTCTAGAGGAATAGTTTTCAAGGCGTCGAGGCGACACTAGGAGATTTTTTTTAATAAAATCCATCTTTCACTATTAGTTGTCACCCAGTTGCCTAGGTAATAATGGGTTTTTCTAAATAAAAACCATGAATCCTAGTGTAAGTCCTTAGGTTCCATAGCAAAAAGCAACCATCTTTCACTACTAGTTGTCTATAATCTTCATAAAAAATGTATAAGCTTCATTAGGAGCATATATAATCAACATATTCATGAAAAATGGAAGAAAAGAAATTTCAGAAAATAGAAGGGATGAGCCTCTATTTTTGTCTTAGGAAAAGAAGAAACAGAAAAGAAAGGGTAAAAGAAGAAGAAGAAGATGATGATTATAATCATGAAAATAATCAATATGTGTTGATCAGATAAAATTTTGAAGTCTTTCATGCTTATTAGTTCAAGGTTTTCTGTCTTTGAGGGTTCAAGGTAGTATACTTGTTTATTGAACCCTAACAAATGAGAAAAATAATAAAAAGAAACTAGTATTTTAAATTAAATTATATAACTTAGTTTAAAATTGTATATTTTATTATTATAATCTCAAAAGATTAAGAATATAAAAGTGCCCAAGAGCTCCTGTAACAAATATCTTGGTGATTAAGCAAGACAACCCTCCATGAGCGCCCCTTTATTATTAGTATAAAGTAATTTTATTAATGCAAACTTAAAAATTACAAGAGGGTGGGTGTAAGTTCCACCCCAAACAACAAGAGTTTACAGATTTGCCCAGAACAGTTGATTCCTTATAGCCGCCCCTCGTTTGGCTAAGGAGTCCGCCATTACATCTGTTGTTCTTTTCACCCATTTAAAAGAAACATTTAGCTCCTTTATTAGGTTCTCAATCTCCCTAAATTTGTGCCAGAAAACCCAAGGGATTTGGGTGTTGCATCTTGTCCAAGAAATGCCCACCTAGGAGTCCCCTTCCACCTCTAAATTGTGGAATCCAAATTGTTTAGCAAACTTTATCCCTAGTAAGCTAACCAGTTCTACTGTCAGTGCATCACTGTGCTCCAAGGGTCCTGAGTACAAAAGCCACAACTCTTCCTTCTGGATCTTGGAACTATCCCAGCCAATCCCAAATTGCCTATAAAACTTCCATCAAAGTTGAGTTTTAGGAAATTAGATGCTCAGGTTTTCCATTCCATAACTAGTCTTTCCTTTTCTTGGGCCAAGAGTGCCACCTCTTTCCAAGTAACAAGGAGGCAAGCCAACAACCACTATTAAAACATAAGGCATAGTGCAGATGGCCCATCCTTTAAGATATGCTCCCCAATACAAATCAGATCTCCTTGCACATCCTTTAGCCAAACCAACAGCCAATGAGTTGGCTCACCTCCAGATTTACTTGAAGATCTTCCTAGAAGTCAGAGCCTTAGCCTCCCTAACCTCTCTAAGCCAACTGATAACAAACCAAGAATCACCCTCTATCTCAACCTTCTCTGGTCCAATGGATGCCATCAATCTACATTTATCTGAGCATGAACCAATTGAAGGACCCAAATAAGCCAATAAGATCTCTCCTGCCACATTCCTGAAACCTCCCCCAACTCCAGATGACACTAGTTCCCCAAGTAGCAGCCACCAAARTTAAGCTTCACCATTCCCTTAGAGAGGCTACTTACTTATGCTTTCTGTAGAGATAGCTTCACTATTCCAGCCCCACACTTTATTTTTTACTGTTTATTTCTTTACTTTTCAGTTATGGTAGTTGGGCCGGTTGGGCCTTGTTTGTTTTTCTTTTTGTTTTAAGTAAGGATCAGTGTTTTAAAAGCACAAGGCGCAAAAAAGGCGCAAGGGCCATTTTGCACCTGAGGTGCAAGGCGCAAGGCGAGGCACACGCCTTTTGAGGCAAGGCACACAATTTAAAAAAAAAAAAGCTAAAAACTCAAAAAAAATCAAAAAACTATAAAACATAATATTAATAAAAATATAAACTTAAGTTTTAAAGTAAATGTTTTAAAAAACTTATTATCTAAAATTAAAATATATAAATATAATATGTAAAGCATATTCAAATGAGAATTTAAAAATGAAATCAAACATATAAAACATTTTCAAGCATATAAAACCCACAATCTCTTTTTTTCTCAATTGCATCAAGTAGCTAATGTGACATATTACATTCCTAATTATATGAGCTGCCTTTGTGCCATGCCCCTCGAGGCAAGCCCAAACAAATCCATGTTAGGGTCTTAAATTCTTAGTTTTCACACAAAAAATAATAATTTTATAGTTTTAATTGCTTTTAAGAAGATATTTTATTAGGATGAATGAATGGACAACATTACCAAATGGGGGATTCTCGAAGCAATTAAAATTATAAAATTATTATTTTTTGTGTGAAAACTAAGAATTTAAGACCCTAACATGGACTTGTTTGGGCTGGCCTTGAGGGGTGTGGCACAGGGGTCCGGGGGTGGAGCCCCCGGCCCAGCGGTCAGACTTAAAAAAAAAAAGGAAAAAGCGGCAAATTTTCAAAAGGCGCGCCTGGGCAAGGGGCCTACCCTAAAATGCGCCTAGGCTCACCTTTTAAATCGCTGTAAGGGTATTAGAGTAACTACACTCCTTGTAAAATCACAAATATAAATAAGATTCAGTGGGGCGGTTATTGATTATTCTGCTGCACCCTTTCTTCTCTCTTTCTTCTTCTCCTCTCTCTTCTTCTATTCATGACCTTCCTTTCTCCTCTTTTCTACTGAATTTGTATCAGAAAACAATTCTTTTCTGATTTAATTTTATTCAAATCTTTCAATTCTCAAAGAGCAAGATACATGGCATGGATGTGCTGGTGGGGACTAGGGAGGGGGTTGGAGATTTACATAATGGACGTGCAGGCATAAAACATGGTATATGCACATTATAAGAGTAAATAGAGGCAGGGACATCAATATGTTTCCATTGGACAGCATGCTGACATGTGCCCGCATGCTAGAAATCTACATCCCACATAGAGATATGGACATTAGAGTAAGCAATTGTTAAGTCTGATATAAGTCTACAACCCAAAGAAAGTTCCAAACAATTGGCCAAGTGACCATGGAGAATAAAATGTTCTCTTAATAACATGTAAGACATATTTTTTGAGAGAGAAGGTAAAGTATAATTGTATTAAGCCCCCGTTCGTTTACCGGTAAATAAGCTTGGGAAAGTTGGTCAATGGGTATCTTTTTCCCATTGACCAACTTTATAATGTTCTTTTTGCATTTACTAATGGGCCCCACAGTAAAATAAGCTCCACTTCCCTGGGTAAAACATACCTATCTCCCAGGTGGGTAAGTAACTTTTTCCCACTTGGGGGAAATTTTATAAAGCATAATGGGACAACTTTGCCCATTTTTATATTAGCTTCTTATGGGTAAAAATGCCATTCTGTTACTTACTTGGGAATCCTGGAAATCAAAAGAACATGGGTAAGTGCACTTACCTAGGTAACATTTACCTGGGTAAGAGCACTTACCCRGGTAAGATACAAAGATGCAAATGAACGAGGCCTAAATATGAACAAAATGTACAGCAACATGATGTACTAAGGGAACAAGAAAAAGCTACTCCCTGTAAACCTGAACCCCACCCTTCTTTACAAAAAGATTATCATGTACAAAAAAGGACTCAAAACCTACACCCCTAAACATGTAAGACAAAATTACCCTCTTTTTTTATCTTATCATCAATAGCCATCTTCTGAACACATTTTCTACCTTTGCCAACTTATCCACATGCACATATTTCAGAAACATTAATAGAAACATGGTATGAAATTTCATTCAAGAAGCAACAATATGCAGAATATTATAAAATCATAGGAATCACAGGAAATTAGAGGAAAAAAAAAGCTCTAGGACATAAGTTTTATGTCCACAATTGACCAATCTTACCTCTAACTTAGCTCTGAAAAGGTCCAATGCATGTCCTTCCATTTTTCCAATATCTAGTAGCTCAGAAGTCGCTATATTTGATTCACCAACTTTATGTAGGCAATACCGAATGCTTGGCTCTAGCTCTTCAACACGTTCACGACACAAAACTTGATTTTCTAAGTCCCCATATTTTCCAAGTTCCTCATAAACAGCCCTACCAGTCTAACAAAGTCAGCAAATAACCATATATGCATTTTTTTGATAAATAATAACCATATATGCCTTTTAAAAAAACTAAAAGAAAAGGATCAGCATAATCTCCTAAAAAAAGAAAATAATAAAATATACACACTCGGGAAAGAAGTAGTAACTCCTGATTGGCAAGAACTACGCAAGCCAAAGAAGAAACATGCCAAAGGATGGTTTAGCAAGTTCCCTCTGTTTCTTTCTCCCTTTCTCTATCCTTTCTTTTCCTTTATTGCTCTTTTTACTTTTAGAAGAATATAGAAAATTACTGATCAAGGAGAGAAATTGTCTTCACAATTCCAAGACTGGCAAAAACAATGTTAAACAAATGGGATTGGGATGCACCTGGCATTCTTGAAATTCATTAATGCAGTATCCCAGTTCTGATCTTGTTCAAACAAAAGGTTTCCTTTCATATATGAGGCATATGCCTGCATGTCAGGACAAACAAATTGTAAAATTAAAAACCCATTTGTATCAACTTTGTCAACATTCAAGAACAAACAGTATACAGGAACAATTCTATACAATTATTAAAATGGAGAATAAAATATCATATACCTTTGAAGTACAAGTTAACAAGAAGACAATGAACAAAAACTTTCCAACTTTTAATAGAAAAAGGAAATCTAAAAAATCAGAATCATACATATACATGCACATCATATTATTAAGATATCCACCTGCTTAATTTAGCTGGATATTATTTCTAATATACATTTTTCACTTCCAACATCTCTGAACAAGAAAGTAGTATATACAAGTTGGACAAATTTTGCAAAAAGATTTATTTACAATGGTTCGGTCAACCGTTGAGCAGTATGGACATGACAAGTTCCAGTATAACAGGATATCAATACAATAATCCAATGCTAAGGGGAGAACAATTATAGAAACTATGCAACCCAACTATGTTGAGCAATGAGATGAATTCAAAGATGCTTCAGAGATACAGTGACCCTTGAAAATCCCATCCAAGGGTTAAAGACACCACAATAAACATTTATAGTGAACCCATACTTGTCAAGGTGTAAAAGCTATACTGGGTGAAATAAAGCACCTAGTCATGTAAGCAGATGCCTAGGCATCATTGAGGCAATAGAATTTGACAAGTAAAATTGGGAGCCCTCCCGTTATTTTTCGTTTCCACCTTCATTATCTCTCTCAAAATAGATCTACAAAATAGAGACTCTACCTTCTTTATTATTTCCTATTAGTTCCAAACATTTACTTTACAAGTAAAAAAGTATAACCTTCTTTAGGTGCCACTAGTTTTTTTTACATGAAACTACTATATTAAATACTTGCTGCACTAGAAAGATCAAAGATGCTTCAGACACAGAATGATTGTTGAAAAATTGCATTCATCTAAAGTGAACATTTGAGATGTCAGGCCTAGTAAAGAGTCACTTTGGTCTGTCAAATGGAAATAATTTGATGCAATCCTTCCTACTTCATTCTTAGCATCTAGAATAATTATTTATTTGGAAGTAGGTGGTTTTTCCATCTCTAATACAGTTCTATTTCTCCTGTTAGACTAAATTGGAACTTTAGGTTTAGAAGACTCAGAGATGGAACCTTAGGTTTTAGAGAAATGAGGTGATTGATCATCTTTTGTTCCTTGAGGAAGCATTTCTTGTTTTATTTGGTTCTGGTGAGAGGATTTAGAGTGTTAAACCCCATGATATTCAAGACGGATACCTTATGATTCAAGCGTTTTGAGGAGAGAGAAAGAAAGAAGAGAAGAGAAAAATAAAAGAGGAGAGCCCTTTAACTTTTTTTCTGCAACTACTCTTTATTGTTCACACATTTAATTTTATTTGCTTCTGGTGAGAGGATTTAGAGTGTTAACCCCATGGTATTCAAGAGGAGAGAGAAAGAAAGAAGAGAAGAGAAGAATAAAAGAGGAGAGCCCTTTATTGTTCCCTCCCTCCCTCCCTCCCTGTTTTACGAAAAAAAAATATATATATCATATACAAAAAGTTCACTTTGGGAAAGTGGACTTTTGTATTTCTTCTTTCTCTATTGAGTGTTTCCCTTTTTGTTTGCTTTGATCTCCCTTGTAGCTTTGTATTCTCGTGATATCTCATCACTATCAGATGTACTACTCTCTTTTATTAATAAATTTTCTTTTTTATTTATTGCCAAAAAAATGTCAGCCATTCCAGTTGATATTGGATACGAAGAGAGCAAATGCATAGGGAGAGAAGACAGCACACTTTTCAACATGCAATTTTATTTTGACTTCATAAGATAGATATTTGGCTTTCTAAGAGGCCGACATCTTACCAATTCTTTCAACAATGGGCTCCCATATTGATTTAGAAGTACACCTAGCACCCAACAGCATTCCCAAATATTTTGAAGGCAACTTCCCCACTCTACGCCCCCGCTCCTCACCCAACTTTCTAACTCCTGAACTTCCTCCACAGCCACCAATTCACTCTTATACATATTTACATGCAATCTAAACACACTTCAAACCATCTTAGAACGACCATCACATAACAGAGTTGCTCATGAGATGCATTGTAAAAGATAAGTGTATCATCAGCATATTGGATCACCAACACCTCCACTCTTTCACATGCAATTGGTATAATAAATACTTATGATATTGTAATGCTGTGTTTAAAATATCTATATTATTATAAAGTGGATACTTGCCTTGGTTTTGATGCAAGCCATAAAAGTTAATTTTGATTTTATAATGTCAATTTATGTCTTTATCCATTACCTGCACACATGCATAGTGCATGCCCTTTTTTTGATAAATAAAGTTAAAAATTCATTGATATCATAAAGAATTGCATAGCGCTTACCCTTACGCTAGTTGAAATTAATAGGTTTAAAGTTGTCTTTAGATATAATAATTTATCACATTTTATATGAAATCCATTGTTACTCAATAACAAACACTGCTATTTTCAATTTACACACTTGCTGATTGGTGTATAGGACTAGGGAATCAACCTAGAATTTAGGTTTTTTCCTTGTCAAATTCCATTGCCTATATGATGCTTAGGCATCTGCTTACATGATTAGGTGCTTAGTTTTCACCTAAAATAGCTTTTACAACTTGACAAGTATGAGTTCACTATAAATGATTATTGTGGCCGCTCTTTAACCCGCTTCTACTTTCATTAAAGTGCCCATAGACCATAGGAAACTATTTGCCTCCTATCCTTTGTCATAGAAATCTGGGAACTTTTTTTGCCTTATCTGGAGCCAGATGGAACCCCCTATAGGATATTCCAACATCACCTTCAAATGCAAGGTCCAAGAGGTACTTATTGGACTTGTCACTATTAGGGTGACTTGTTGGCTGCTTGTGAGGGGTTCAGCACTCTAAATCCTCTCACCAGAACCAAAGAAATCAAGAAAAATTTCAAGATACAAAAGAACATCAATCACCTACTAGTCTAAAAATCTCCTGGTCTTCTTCTAAACCTAAGGTTTCAATTTAATCAAACAGAAAAAATGGAACCAATTAGAGATTGAAAATTCTTATATAAAAAAGTAAAGTCATGGAAATTTAAGAGGGGTTTACTGTGTTAAATAAATTTTAAAAAAAAAAAAATTAAGAGGAGTGTCACCCAACCACAAATCTCCCCACATCTTATTGATTTAAGAATAGACACAAAAAACCCAAATTTTGCCACAAAAAAAAACCATGATAACTAATATATTTGTAATAATTTATTGGAGATTAAAATAAAACACAATAAATTACAAAATAGGTTCCATACACATCTTAGACACATGTAGAAACAACATCAATATGACACCTTAGGGGACTCTTCTCTTTGATGAATCCATATACGTGACTAAAGAACCTTGAAATCTTAGGATAGGATTTGATAATGAGTTAAACATTGTCATAAGTTGCTTGTTTATTATGATTGGCAATTAAGCATAATCAATTATATATTATTTTAAGTATTCAATGTTGTTTGCTGTTTCTGTTTATTTATGCTTATACATTTAATTTATTTTCTTTTTCAACAATTATTCCATTATTTATTTATCAAAGTTATATATTATTACAAAACTATAACATACCAGCCAAAGTCCATAGTGTATGTATTATGTAATTAAGTATTATTGGAAACAAAAATTAATGGATAATGAATCATGGTGTATATCCACCTACAGCACCAGTAAGAAGAAGGGATCTGTTACGAGTTCAAGGGGCTATCTATGGGCAGACCAAAAAAGGGCATGGGTCAAAGTAGTAAGAAATGATTTAAGCACTCAAAATACACACACACAGGAACACTGTAGAGCTTTTCACATTTGGCACTTCATTGTTTCCACTCCTGCTCCAATTCCACCTCCAGTTACCACTTCTGGCCACTAAAGCCATTGGCATCCCTACTTTTTACCCTCATGAAACCCTTTTTTTGGGTAGCATTAGGGAGTGCTCTTGGTTTTCTAGCATGATTATTTCCCTTCTTTCCTCTAATAAATTATATTTTGAAAGTTGCCACTCAAAAAAGAAAAGAGCTTCTTGCTTATTTTCATGAGCACATGAGAACAAATAAAAAAGAGAAAGGTCTCACTCTGAAAGATCTTATGATGACATCTTCCTAACTGGTGAGAAGTTTCAGAAGGTGTGAAACTATTCTTGGGAACATTCTCCCCTTTGCTCTATGTTGGTTTGGGGAAAAAGAAATGGCCACATTTTTGAGAACGTCAGATCCTCTTCTGATGTGCATAAAGAAAGATAGAAGAATATTAATATGCCGATCTTCAATTTTAGAGATTGTGAACGGTTGAGATATGATTATTTTAGGCATCAATTGGATGAGAGAATTTTAACTCTTCTAAACATAGAAAGTGTATATGTGTACAAGGTATTTTTTTAGGGTGTTTCTTTTCTTTGGTAGGGGTGGGGATTACATGTAAACAATACCTGGTACCATTTAACAATAAGGAAAAAAAAAAACAGAAAACGGTGAAGATAAGCATTGTCATGTTCCACACTATTAGTTTCCATTAACTGAAATCCCAGTACAGGTAAGCAAAAAATATCAAGGGGGTGTTCATCGGCAAGTTGGCTCATTTCGTCTTCTTTGCTTTTTTTCCTTTTTGTCCATTCTACATTATAAAAATGGAATCCCATTCATTTACCTATGTTTCTGTATAAATGGTTTCTTCTTTTTTTTTTAGAATGATAAAGTATAATGTAATCAATAATAACCAAAAAGCATGCACAACAAGTGGTTATACATAGGGATTTACAAATACTGCCCATGCAGTCCTATACCCCCCACACCCTTGTTTTACAAAAAGAGTATCAAAAGCGGAGAGAAAAAAAAGTTATAATTTCTGTTCTTAAATAATCTACTTACCACCAGCCAAGAGAAATTTTTTCCCAATGATGATCTTATTTATCCACTGCAAGTTCTCAGCCAGAGTATGGTCTCATTTTCTTAAAGCAATATCCCTCCAAGTATGCTTCCCTGCCTCTGTCAAGTCCCTTTTTGAATGCTGGAAAATTGGAGGTATGTCAAAAAAAGGAAAAATCCTTTGATTGACCATCCCTCTGACTGTAATTTGGGCCATTTGGACTGAGAGGAATAGGAGGATATTTGAGCAAAAGCAAAATCAAGAAGAGGTCCTAATTAATCAAATTTTTGGCATCCTTAGAGGATGGCTGAGCATCAGTCCTTTGTTCAAGGGTGATCTTCTGTCTTGTTCTTTTTTTGGCTGTTGATTTTTTTGGGAGTTCTTAAAGGTGTTCATATGTACAGAACCTTGTTGTACAGTGAACTAGTTTACTGTATACTTTCTTCTGATCATAGTAATACAATTTTACATTACCTTCTCAGATAAAAATCCCAAAACTCTCTGAAATATTGTATCTGTAGAGCAAAGTTTATTCTTAAAGATCCTTGCATTCCTTTCCTGCCATATGCACCAAAATACTTCCCAAAAAATTTTGGAAAGAGAAACAGGCCCCATTTTACGGGGGGAAGCAACATTAAAAACCAACCAACTCCCCCCTCCCCAAAAAAAAAAAAAAAAAAAACTCTGAGGGTAGACCATTTTTGGAGGAAAAATAGAAAAAAGAGCACATATAAAAAGAAGATATGAGCATACATACCTTCATAATGCAACCCAACAAAATATTATTAGCTATAGAATGAAAAGAAACAGATACCAGAAAAAGATTATATACCTCAGCTTCCAGTGATGTTCTGGAATCTCCTTTGATAGCACACAACTGTGCGAAAAGTGTTGCCCATTTTGCTGCCTTCCTTAACCTACCAATCAAGTAGATGTGTTGCCGTGCATTTGGCCCATCAGGCAATTGTCTTTTCTCCATGGCATGGCTCCAAGCTCTTTCCGCAGTATAAAGAATGAGATGAAGAAACCTAGTTGAAGTCCCAAAGGGCCTAATTAATGATAACCTCAACAAGCTAAAAATTGCTAATATTATTTACCAGTAAAGAACACTGGATAAAACACAATTCTTGCATTCTTTTGTTTTTGGTCTTTCTGTTTTTCGTTGAAAGTCAACTTCAGCAAGTGATTGAAATAACCCATAAAAAAATAAAAAATAAACTTGTAAATCTTCAAATAGCTGCTTTAAGAACAGTAAAAGAAAAGGATCACCACTTCATGTTGCCTCAGCCACTGGGATTGATTCATGTTGGGCTACATATAACTCATCAACAGTATTAAGCCAATGCTTGAAAGCAAAGGCCATAATAAACTCCTCTTTTCACTGGTTGACCCTTTCAAGGGATAAGGGATTGGTCCACCCTTTGGTGTGCATAACTCTTCATAGAGTGGAATATTCACCAATATCAACTCATTGGTAAATGAGTGATTTGAGTGCCATAGCCACTTCCTATTAGGGTCATGTTTACTTGATGGTATCCATACAAAATTGTCTTTCTCACACTCCAATAAAATGGAAACTGGAAACAAACCCTCCACCCTTTGTATTAAGATGCATTAATACGCCTGCAATCTACATTACATAATTCCATCCACTATAGAACAGCTGGAAAACTAAGCAACATGGATGCAACATTTTATTACATCTGACATCTGTTGGATGTTGTCTTGAACTCATGTATCCAAAACATGCCAATGCTATGTCGATTTTTTTTATATTGAACAACTCTTGATCATACAAGAAAGATTCCCATTTTCATTATGTCAAACAACTAGTATCAATGTTATATGAAAACAACTTGTTACTTAGCTGAAAGAATATCCATCTTCAGCTTTTCAATCAACTTACATCCATTCTACCTTAATTTCCCAAGGAATCGTGGCATGGGTTTCTAGTTTCCACCTCTTCATGAATTACATCACAAGCTTCTTTCTGGATGAATTCAATTAGCCAAGAATCCACTCCAAGAAATGTAGGCCCCTTCCTGTTAGACTCGCTCCCATCCCTCATGAGTTTGTTGGCACTGCCAGCTAGGTTTAAAAATTTCTCTAGAAGTCTTCACATTCACAAATCCAATTCTCCGGTCATTATTTTTCCAGTTGATATGACCATCCTCTAGTTTTTTCTCTAAGACACTCAAAGGACGTTGAGGCTCGTATTTTCATAACTAAAATTTCCCAATAAACTGTATAGCGTTAAATTAACTCATCAAACTTATATGCCAATATACATCCCGATTTAAGGAGAAACTTGAAATTGAGCCGTGCCCAGTTAATTAAATGTTCTGATACAATTTGTGATTTCTGAAGGATGTATGGTTAAAGCAAACCAATTGTCAGCAGAAGGTAGAAAGCAAGATCAGCATGACAAACCTCACTTCCGTAACGGTAGACTCGGTTATGGCTCTCTTAACGTATTTACCACGACCATGTGTGAACTTCAATGATTTGTACAACCTCCTCAATCGCGCTGTGCAATATCTCCTATAAATCAAATTATTAGTGAAGTAGCTTATGCAACTTTCCGAAGGAGACAGGAGAAATACAAAAGTAGACACAATTATATTACAATCGAATCCCTATGTAACTAAGCGTTTAATTGAGCAATAATATGTCACACCGGTAACGAGTATAATCCCCGTGCCTTAACCCGTGCTGCATCTGAGCAGATTTCAATAGCTGTAGTACTGAAAACGAAACCAGAAAAATGTCTAACGTGTAAGAACAATGTATTAATTGAATATATGCACATAATGTGCGAGATCGAACGACAAACCATTAATTGAGAATTTCGGATGGATCTGATCAGAATTTTGTGACTTTTTCTCGTCAATGTCCATTGCTGAGGCGTCGCTTACTTTTGCCATGAAACCTTCGCGATGAAAAAAATGATAATTTCAGACATCAAGAAACCGACGAAAGTCAGAAAGGTGTGCGTGTGTGTGTGTGTGTGCGTGCGCGCGCGCGCGTAACGAAAGATCTAGGTATCTTGTTGCCAGGGTTTTGCGAGCAAGTAGGTTGACAAACCTGCCTAATGAAAATAGCTTTTACGAACTAGAACGGATAGAACATATGAACATGAAAACCGAGAGAGAGAAGGAGGAGGAGGAGGAAAAAGAAGAGAGAACAAATGGAGTTGATGGTCTACAGTATACCTTGTTCTTGTTGTCGTTATTGGTAGTAGCTGAAGTGGTGCTGAAAGCGGAATGCCGAAAATGTATTTCAGACAAATGGCTTAAACGCAGGTTTTTCTTTAGTATGGGCCTTTCCTAGGGCACGAGTATAGTTGTTCATGGGCCGGGTAGCCGGCCCGAACCGTCCTTTAACGGCTTCGACAAAATTTTAGGCCTATGGGATGAGGTTCTGGCTCGAGCACCAGGCCCGATTCTTTTTTAGCTGGGCTTGAGGTTTTCCAAATAAGCCCAATCAGAACCCGAGCCTGGCCTAATAACATTACGTATAATAAAAATACATATTAATAATATAAAAAATAAGAACATATAATATATATTAGTTTATTAAACAATTACCAAACTAATATAATATTAGTTAATACACTATGGGTAAGACTCTTTATGTCAAAAGCAAGTTGGGGTTCAAGATAGTTCTGATGGTTGAACCGGATTTAAACTAGGACTTGAACATTGGCCCAATCTAGGCATGAGGCATCCGAAGCCTGTGCTTTTGAGTTTAAACTTTAAAGTTTAGATTTTAGATAATCAGTTCTATGATATAAACCCATAGTCGACCTCATTATTAATTGGGCTATTATACTTGACATTCATAATTGCCTATGTTAATAACAGCTTGAACTTCAATTTTTTTATAGGAAAATGAGGAGTTACACAAGATGGGGGTACAATAACAGCTTGAACTTCATAGTTGCAGCAACATTGTCGTTCACGATGGCAACGTCTATGGATGGCGCTCCCTCCCTTAGTCAATTAGCTAAACCACAAGGATAGTTTAAGAAATTTACTGTTACATATTTTTTGGTACATCAGAAAAAAATGTAAGGGATAGAGCTGCCCCAAGGATTTGAGAAGCATGGCTCTCTCAATCACTACTTGACCATCGCAACTAATGGATCTACCACTAGCAATGAAATCAACCAAACAATTAGCTTCGCGAAGAACATGATTAATTCTAATGATCTTTCCCGCTTCTTTCAATTAGCTTCCTTGCATCTTGGATAGTCATCTCAGTAGTCCATGTGGTGTGTCCTCTGAGGTTCAAGGCTACAACAATTATTTTGGAATCTCCTTCAACGATGGTATCATTTTGTTAGAAGTCCAAAGCCATTCTAATAGCATTTTTGTCTGCTAATGCTTTTGCCTATAGGATTTCACACTTGCCCAACTTGTCAATCCCTAAGCATTGAATTATGCCAAAGTGGTCTCTTGCTACCCATGCAGTAATGGTCATCTTGTTCCAATGGGTTAATGCATCAAAGTTTATCTTTAGTTGTTGTTAACACAAATTTATTCTTTGGAAATCCAAAAACAAAAAAAAAATGACAAATATCAAGTCTTTGATATTTAATAAAATGGGATACAAATATCTAAGATTTAATCTCTATACAATGAGAAATCCTCTTATTATTTTTTCAAAAGATTCGATGTAAGGACTTGAAATGCTTGTTCTCAGATAAATTTAGAAGTGTGCACGATCCAAGAGTTGATGAAGCTTCCTCCTAAACTAGTGCTTGTAGATCTTGTTGTAGTACCTTAGAGGTCTCCTATAGAGAAACCGTAAGGATTTATTGAGTTGGTGAACAACTCATAGGCTTCTACTGATGAAGAACTCTGGAGGTCTTCTGTAGATGGAGGTTTCTGGAACTTTTTTCTTGTTCTCTCAAAGGTTTCTCTGAGAGTTAAAAAAAAAAAAGGTAATTTCTCTGTGAATGAGAACCATTATATAGAGGCTGGTTGAGAGAGTCTTAGTTGGTCTCAACCTTATTGGTGAGAACTTATCTGGTAGAGCTTCAACCAATCATTCTCAACTTGCGGGTCCCATGTGGTTAGGAGAGGATTTTCTCCTTACCTGTAAAGTTAAGGTTGGACTAACCATTTTGAATAGAACTTACCCAATCTCATCTTTTTATCTAGATTTCTTTGTAGATAGTTTTGGGAATTATGGGACTCTTTTTTACGGATCCCACTTGAATCTATTGAATATAGACTTTGCTTTGTAAAGTTGGGCTTGGCCAAGGCCCATTTAGTTTGGATTTGAGTTTTTTGTAAATTCGGGCTTCCATCTTGGATTTCCAAATTCAACCCATTTGTGATGGGGATACGTAGCACAAAAATTTTATGTGCCTATAATTTTCTTATGTGTTAATAAATTTTATGTGCCTACAATTGCCTACAATTGTCTTATATTGAAAATTATATTTGTTTATTTAAATAATAATTTAAATTTTAAAATTTTTAATATAACCTTAATAAAAATGAAAGAAAAATACCAGATTATTTATGTGTTAATAAACTAAACATTTTTAAATAACATTATCTTATGTATAATGTATTATTTGTTGAATTTACCATTTCAAATATGATAAATTTTATAAGAAAAGTAGAAAATCTTATATATTTTTAATAGAATAATCGATTCTTGGTCTGAATTGGTTGAGGACAAACAAGAACCAGAACCGACCCTATTATTAATCAGGACAAAATTGTGGAATCAAAATCGTTATAATCAGTTTGGGTCTATTGGATAAACCCAACCCACTGATAGCCCTAGAAGAGAGGGCAGGACCAAGAAAAAAAGAAAAAGACTTGAATGGAAAAACGATTAGGTGGTCTTCATTCATGGTTCACTAGACACCCACTTTGTGGAATCTTGGTTGTGTTCGTGTTTCATATGATTCATAAACACAATCAGTATTTTGTATGTTATTTATATGCTAAACGTGGTCCCACGGTTTTGAAATCAGTAATTAATGATTTCATAAACAGTAATTTTTAACATAACTTTTTATAGCTTTCTCAGCCAATAAACATGGTTTGTCGCGTTACTCGTATACCAATATGACTCCAATCACAATATCTCGATTTTATAATGACTGCACAATCAAAAGTAAATATTTAAAATACATTGTACATATAATCATATATGCATGAATTATGCAATTAATGCTCATATATCACGAGTCATGACTCAAAAAACCAACAATGAACAAAAGGGGCTCTTTAGCATTGTATGGTTCAAAGAAAAAATTGTTATCTTCAGAAAGAGTGATATGGTTTTAGAAGGGATTCTTAGCTTTGAAGTTTCTTTAACTTTGCAAAAAGACCACTTTTGACCCTAGGTTTTAAAAAAGGCCATTGAGTAAAAAGACCATTTTAAGACAAAAACAAATGATGATAGTGGAGATGAGAATATTCTGGTCCTTCAAGTATAAGAATATTCAAAGATCAGGAAGGAAAATATTGGGTTTGAAGTTAATCATCAGCTAGCCGCAAAGGGAAGATATTGGGTTTCGGAAGTTCTTGAATGAGAAAAAGAAATTTAAACAATTGACCTAAGACATGGAAGTCAAGTTTTAGTGGATTAAGAGAAGTGAAAATTCATTTGAAGATTCACATACCAAGCAAGGGGTGGGAAGAGTGGGCAATGTTATAACTTGTATATGAATCTTGGGGAGGGTTAATAGATTTTACCCCTCATTTTTTATTGTACTCTATGTTGTTTTCTATTAACAAATCTTCTATTAGTTATCCAAAAAATAATAGAATAATTACGCTCAATGATGCGGCATTGTTTAAGTTAAAAAAGTTATTTGAAAAATTATATGTAGATTCCACATAAAAGTCCCACCATTCACATCTGACCAAAAATAAAAACAAAAATAATTATTTTTTATTTAATAATTAATTACCGATAAAACAAAAAATCTCACAATTTCAACTTAAATAATTTTAGACTCTGGATCTCCTGCCCACAACTCTACGAAGCCTACCTGCAAAACACAACCTCCGTGAATTGAGAACATCACCCCGTGCATAATAGCATGTAAGAAGATGAGATGTTCTCCATGTATGGATGCGATGTTATGTGAGTAATAGGAGTGGGTAGAAAATCCGAACTTGTAATTTTAAGGAGAAAAATAAGTAAATCCCACTTAAAATTCTCACCTATTCACATCTGACCAAGAATAAAAACAACCGAAAAATAGACTGCACTCCACTGCAAAATTCTGAATTCCATTGCAGATCTACAATAATTTGAAATGTCAAATTCCCCCACCTTAAACACCAATACCCGTTCGTGTATTGGCATCAATTCCAAGTTAGCACCTACCCCAAGTCCCAACTGTACAATAGGACTAAGAATTCTGACAGTGGGCTGAACAATCATTCTCCCTAAAAACAAAATAAATAATTTTATTTAAAAATAAATTAACAATAATAAATTTATGTAGGATTGACATGTAATTTTTCAAATAACTTCTTTTTTTGCCACACCACATGAGTCATGAACAACCCTAACCAAAGTTCAAAATATCAATACGCCCGATATACCAGTAGGGGTGTATCAGGCAATATCAATACTTATTCTTTTAATTTTTTTTTAAAATCGGTTCAGGGAAACCAGTTTAAGGCTCCTCCACACCCTGAACTGGTCAGAACCTCGATACACCCTCTGTAGGGGCATATCAGGGAGCTCCCTGAAGGCCTGAACAATACATATCGGCTGATACGGGCCGATACTTTGAACCTTGCCCCTAACCACAGTACCACACATGAAATGCAGACATGAAAAAGAGTAGATGCCTCTGGAGTTTGAACCGCGATGGATATCTTGACCCGGATACAAGCATTACAGCGTCTAAGTATATTGTGTGATATATATACTGATGTGTTTGGTAATATGACAACAATAGGTTTACAACTTTAAAAATCCTTTCGAGTTGCGTTGTGCTTGCTGCCCAAGATACACACAGAAGAAAACATTTATTCGACTCTATACATTGTAGAAGAAAATGCCAACCTATGTAGTTTATCAACTTCTTACTGGATCCACAGGCAAGGGCCGTGGCTTCACCCAATTTACATCAAGGTCAAATGAAGATAAAACATACTGATAGTCCACAGGCCGTGCACAAACCTCTAGTAGCGCCTACCACCTGCCGTGGAGAGGAGAACTCGAGTTGGTTTTTTCCCCTTCTTCCCAAACCCATTCATCTTTGGGACATCCAGGCTCTCAGAAGAATTGGCTGTGGATATAATATTTGCAAATGACAAGGTAGCGGCACTCCTAGGACCTGCAGAAAAATAAGAGGCGATAATGCATTTCCGATGGTTCGTTAATTTGTTGCGACAAGCAAAACAAGTATTTTAAGATTGCTAGCAAAGTGGTATTCAACAATTCATTAAGTCTGAAAATAAGATGACAAAGTCAGTAATAAAATTCAACCACAAGCAGGAAAGACATTATGAAGCAGAATAGCTATACCAGTTAGGCCAGAAGCATTGGTTGCCGCTTCCGTGTTGCTCAAACCATCAGAAGATTCAACTTTCAAGGAAGGAGAATCATGCCCAGCAGCAAAACCAAGCCTTGTCACATCTGAGAAGAGTTTCCTTTCACCAATAATCGTCGGACCTGATGTTGGAATGGTGGAATTTCCCAAAGCTTAACATGACAGAAACATTAAAATGATAAGGAACTTGCTGCTCAAAAAATGATGACAAGGAACTTTATAAGAACCTTCAGTCCCTAAAATATACAGCACAGACAGAATGTGGAAAAAGCTTTAGACACAACACCGTTTCATGATATCAAGAACCCATCACTTTAATAGGTTACCTTAGTTTTCCATGTAAAGGTAAGTCAAGTCGAACAACAATCTAGACCTTAAACAAACTGCATTGATTTTCTCTAATCATGAAAGCATGCCAGATAGGATGGCTTGAACAGTCAGACTAATCAGAGCTAGGTTCACAACATCTTCTAGTAGGACATAAATAGAATCTAAATTCTGGGAAAAGATTAGTTCCTTAATCAGATATCAGTACCCAAACCAGAATTATTTGTTAATGCATGTCATAAATATTCAAGACAACATTCTATGCATTGATGATTGTGTATTACCTTCAAAGTCGTCCATCGAGAATGTTGTGTCCTTGTAAGAAGAGTGTGGATAATTGGATGGTATGGACATAGCATTCATGGCAGCAGCTTCAGCCTTGATCTTCTCTTGACGTTCCTGGAGAATCAGGAGTACATTTGGATCTTAAATATTTTACTAAGAATGACTACATGCACTTTTGGAGGAAGCCATTCTGCAATCATAGTTCCCTCAAAACAGAAATATCTCATGAACCAGTAACAAGTTGCACAATCAGTTGTAGCTATCGCATCAGAATTCAGTTATCAAGGTACAATTGGACATGTCTCCTACAATATGGAGACTGGAAAATGCCAATGTCCAAAGAGAAAAGCAATGTTTTATAGCTGGATTAGTCCAGGTCTGTGGACCATGCATCTATCAAGGTACAATTGAACAGCAATGTTTATTGACTGTTCAGGCCAGATGACTTAAAAAATGCTGATCAACACTAATTGCTTTTTTTAATACATACATATGCATTTATTAAATACAATTTTCCCTCTATATATTAACTATGAATACAATAAAGGATAAACCAAGGAGCAATAGGATGGCATTAACCAAGGGCTTTCATTTTACTCCATTTTATGATAAAACAGAGACAATGGAAGTTTGAGTAAGCTATTCAAGAGACAAAGCCAAAGAACCCACAGAATACCTAATGGCCCAATATCCACAACAAACTAAAAAGTAAGGCTAATTCTCAGTAGCCGATTCCTATTTTCCCCTTTCTGCTAATTATGTTAAGGTTTGTGAAAAAGAAATTAAATTCTTTTTCAAAGAAGAAAAGAGAAGGCCTGCCTCCTGTAAATTAGCTCTCTTATTCATTGTATTCTTTTCAAATGTTTAACCCATGCAATTTTTCATTTTTCTATAAAAAGTTTAAGGCAAGCAATACTGCATGTACTATGGAGCAGAGTGTTGGGAAGTCAAGAAACAACATATCCAAAAAATGAGTGCGGCGGAACTATGAACGTTGAGATGGATGAGTGGCAAAAGTATATGGATAAAAAATGAACTTATTCAAAGGAACCTAAGAGAATCTCCAACAGGTAATAAAATGAGGTAAACTAAGATGACGGTGCATTTGCTCCCTGGTCAAGTTCTCTGCATTTGCTTATTGCAAACCATGGGAGATTAATGAGGGCGCCCAAGGCATAGTGTGGGAGATGACAGTTCAGATAGACAAAAGAAAAGTTGGAAAACTGGAGGAGAGGATGACGATGCTGAAGGCGAGCCTGGTTGGAAGATTCGTGACAGTAGACTTGGACACAGACAAGGTCAAAGCCTGGGCTAATAACCTTGAGTGGGGAAAAGAGAAACTAATGGGGGTTAGAAAACTGAATGGAGGATTGTTCCTCTTCATGTTTCACAGTAGGGGCTGGGCGGAAGAGGTGTTGGCAGCAGAATCGCTGAGGTCGAGACAGTTCAACCTTAGACTGAGTTGATGGTTCCCAGTGGAAAGTGCACTGAGTGAAGGGAGAGGAAGAAGAAAGGCAGTCTGGATTGTGGTAGTGGGGATCCCTTTGCACACCTGGAGCATAGTTACGTTTGAAGAAATAGGAAAGTAGTGTGGAAAACTTCTGAGATTCGACGATAAAAACAGGACCTGGGACAGGTTGAACAGGGCAAAGCCCTGTCAAAGAGTTTGGATTAAAGTTGTACCTTCAAAGACAGCTTTTTTGGTTTGGTCAGCAGTGCTGGACAAGATTCTAACCAAGGAGAATTTAGCCAAAAGAGGGGTAGAAGTGGCAGATTTGGCTTGTCCCCCATGTGGTGGGAATGTAGAACCTTCTAGTCATTTACTGTTACACTGTGATTTTACCCACTAGGTTTGGTTAAAAGTGGTGGATTTATTTGAGGCTAAGCTGTGCTTCCCAGCAGATGTAAAGGGACTCATAGAGGCTTGGTGACTGGAAGGTCTTAGTAAGGCTGGAAAGATGGCATGGAGCATCATCCCCGCTGCTGTTATGTGGTCAGTGTGGAGTGAAAAAATAACAGAATATTTGAAGGAACTCAGAACTCAAAAGAAGATATACTGAGGAAAATTCTGGGAATGATCCACTCATGGCTGGCAATACATCTGATGTTTAAAGGCAGACACCCAAGTGTATTTTTTTTATTTTAGCTTTCTGTTTGTAAGGAATGGGTAGTTGTTTGTTTTTTGATTGGGGGGGGGGGGAGACTGTATTGAGATGAGATGGTTTTTTGTATATCCTCTGTTCATTTCTCTGTGTACAGGGGTTTTTCTGTAGTTGATTTTATTATTGAATCACTTTACAGTTTTCAAAAAAAAAAAGGTTGGACAGGGAGAAGCTGCTGTTTGATGTAAGCGATAGTATCCTGAATAGAATGAATTAATGAAATTAAAGCTTGTGGGGGAGTTTTATGAGCTGAGGTTATTGGTGAGGGAGAAGATGGAACAGCACTATGCTGTGATAATGGGAACAGAAGGAAATGAGGGGGTGAGGAAAGGAAGGAGAAAGGGCAGAACAAGGACGAAGACGAAGTTGGGAAGGCAAATCGCAGTGTTTTAAAAGCGTGAGGCACAAAAAAATAAAAAAAAAAAATCAGAAAATAAAAAATTGCAAATATATATATTAAATATAATATTAACAAAAAGTATAAACTTAAATCTTAAAATTAATGTTTTAAAAAACCTATTATCTAAAATTAAAATACATAAACATAACATGTGAAGCGCACTCAAATGAAAATTTAACAATAAAATCAAACATATAAAACATTTTCAAACATGTAAAACCCACAATCTCTTTTTTTCCTCAATTGCATTACTTCAAGTAGCTAATGTGATGTAAAACATATTACATTCCCAATTCTACGAGCCGCCTTTGTGCCACTCCCTCGAGGCAAGCCCAAACAAGTCCATGTTAGGGTATTAAATTCTTAATTTCACACAAGAAATAATGATTTTATAATTTTAATTGCCTTTTAATAAGATATTTTATTAAGATTAATCAATGAAAAACATTAGCAAATGGGGGAAGGTAGGAGAAGATGCTGAGATGGGGGTTGAGAAGGGCAAGATTGGTATTTCATATAGGAATGAGAGGGAGTTAAGGGGCAGGGACACATGGAGAGGGAAACAAGGAATCCCAATCGTCGTGATGTGAAGTAAAAGAAGGAAAGAGTGATCAAGAAGCGAGTGAAATAAGGGCAGGACTGAATTTAACTGGGACTCACATTAATTATACTGGCCAAAGTCAAACCGAGACATCAAGACATCAATTGGTCGGGTTAAAAATAAGGAGGGGGAGGGGTATAATTGGGAAAAGGCCAGCAAAAAGAGTTTTATCAAACAGGTTGAAGGGTAGGAAACTAAAAGAACAAGGTGACAACTGGATTTGGGTGATAGTAGTGATTTAAAAAGGCACGCCTAGGCAGACAGGCGAGGCGCATTTTAGGGTAGGTGCCTTGCCTAGGTCCTAGGCGCAGCCCATTCAAAAGGCGCACGCCTAGTGCGCCTTGCGCCTTTTGAAATTTTGATGCTTTTTCCTTTTTTTTGAGTCTAGCAACTAGGCCGGGGGCGAAGCCCCCGGACCCCCGTGCCACGCCCCTCGAGGCCAGCCCAAGCAAGTCCATGTTAGGGTCATAAATTATGATTTTTCACACAAAAAATAATGATTTTATAGTTTTAATTGCTTTTAAGAAGATATTTTATTGGGATGAATGAATGGACAGCATTACCAAATAGGGGGTTCTCGAAGCTTCGGTGAGCGAGCGAAACTCAGAATTTAAGACCCTAACATGGACTTGTTTGGGCTGGCCTCGAGGGGCGTGGCACAAAGGCAGCTCATAGAATTAGGAATGTAATATGTCACATTAGCAGATTAGCTACTTGATTTAATTGAGAAAAAAGAGATTGTGGGTTTTATATGCTTGAAAATGTTTTATATGTTTGATTTCATTTTTAAATTCTCATTTGAATATGATTTACATATTATGTTTATGTATTTTAATTTTAGATAATAGGTTTTTTTAAACATTTATTTTAAAATTTAAGTTTATATTTTTATTAATATTATGTTTTATAATTTTTTGAATTTTTTGGATTTTTTATTTTTTAGCTTTTTTTTTTTAATTGTGCACCTTGCCTCAAAAAGGCGCGCGCCTCGCCTTGCACCCCAAGCACAAAATGGCCCTTGCACCTTTTTTGTGCCTTTTTCTTTTAAAACACTGGGTGATAGCTCAGTTCGAGGGAAAAAGAAGACTGTAAGAGTACAAAGGAGTAGTTGGAACTCAGCAGAAGCAGACAGTGCTAGCATTGAAGGGGAGGAGGAAAGTTAGACGAAAAACGACGACAGCAGCTCGCTAGGTCCAAACAGACATTGTTGAGTTTTAGAATCAAGAAGTGAGCTCGATGTCGAAGCCAGACCTGTCTCCGTAGACTACAACAGGAGCTCTGCCTAGTTCAGATAAATCGAGGTTGGAGGGACAATCTAGTGGGGCGCTAGACAGAGAAGTGGATTTTGAGTGTGGGAAAGGGTTAGCTATGGACAAGACAGTCCAGGTCGATGGTGAGGTGCGTATCACTAAAGCCTCTGATGCTTTAACTTCTAAGGTGGAGGGAAAGAGTCAACTGGGGGTAGATAAAAGGACATGGAAAGGAGGAGGGGTTAGTGAAATAAAGAGAAAGCGCTCTTCAGAGTGGGAGAGGGTAGACAAATTGGAGAAAGTTTATAACAGGAAGAGAAGATTGGAGGAAGGTGACTCAGCTGTCAAAGAAGGAAAGGAGTTATATGGGCAAGGGATAAGGAGCAGTGGCAAGAGGAACGGAGAGGGGAGAGGGTGGAGGAGGAGAGAGGAGATGAGAAGTAGGGTGGGCTAGAGTTGAACCGAACAAGGAAGTGGAAATTACTAAGCTTGTAGAAAGGGAAGTGACAGTGAGCAAGTCCCTAGGATTGTTCTTTTGGGGAGGGGAAGAGTTTGCAAGGAGAGATTTTGAACAATTTGAGAGGAACAAGAGGGAGGAGAAAAGTAAAAGGCAAGGGGGTAGCAGCTTGAACAAAGAGGGGGGTGAGGAAGGGGGCGAAGAGGAGGTGCTTGATTAGACTAGTAGCAAATACACACTTAATGGCACTTGTGAAAATTTAACTATCAAAACGGATATCAATTATCAAGCTCCTTTGATACCCAAAACAAACAAAAGATCATGTAAAAAAAATACAGGACCATCAATGGACTCCAAAAGTTTGATACCCAATTGGACACCAAATTCGATTATCTCATATTTGGATGTTAGAACTTGCATCCAATTAATAAATATGCATCTATACATAGATATTATATACAGTTATATAAAGCTTATAGCTAACAAATTTCATATTTTATATTTATCATGCATTTATCATACATGTATTATGTATACATTGAAATAATTATTTTTTAAATTTTTTATTTTTTATTGCCATCTTTAAGTATAACATGTTGGATGTGGATTAAATCCAAATCCAATCCAAAGTCCAACATTTTGGATTTCATATTGGATTCAAATCCAAGGGTTTGCAGGAAAAAGATGAAGTGAAAATGAATAACATATATGCCTACCCCCTAAAATAAAAGAACAAAACAAGTTAACCTAAGTAACTTAACCCAGGAAGAAGAGAGGGGCAAAGGTTCTAAGCCAAAAATGATAGCTACCTGAGAAAAAAATCATGAAGGATAGGAAGAAAAGGAAAACAATTGATGTATATGGTCAAGATGAATCTTAAAAGGAAATAATGGCGTTGCAAAAGATGTGATAAAATATGAATGTGGACCTAATTGCTCGAAACAAAACAAACCACCAAAAACAGATGGATGTCAATACCTTCTTAGCAAGCCGCTTCCGCTGATTTTCACGCTTCTTGATTTCTTCAATAAATGGAGACAGGGCATCGGGAGGCAACATTTCAGTCAGATCAATTTCACAAAGCTGCAAATATTTTCATGGTTAATGGTAAGAGATAATGACCTTGTGACATATTTTTCAAAAACAAAAAAGATTGTTACAGAGTACCAATCAAATAAAAAAAGGAATTTACGACACTTAATATAAAAGAAATGAGCAGTGATTACCTGAAATGTTGTTGTTAAGGAAAAATGACTTAAAAAACGATAGCGTCTCCTCATGGCCTCTGATTGAGTCACAGTCTCCAACTGTAAAATCTTACCACTAATTCTGCAATTAAGTTATTCTAGTCAACAAATGGGAGGAAGAAAAAGAATAATTGATACCCACCAAAGAAAGTCACAGCAAAATAAACTTCATCGTATGCTTTTCTTTCGATTTTCTTCCTAACATAATTTCAAATCCCAATCTAGTTATTAGAGATGCCAATAGAATATATAAACAACGATGATAAAAAAAAAGAATATATAAACAACAGTCACACTGGAACGCAATTTTACTTTTGAGAATTCAAATGCATCTGACACCAAAGGTGACAATGTTTTTTCAAAACAATAACAAAGAAGAATATATTAGGTTATATAATTAGAAATTTATGCCAACAAGCAATAGCAAACAAGTCACTGTGATAAACAACACTGTATTACAGTGTGTGCAATCTCTTTTACACCTATTAGAATATCCCTTAACAGGATACAGAACCCAAGATAGGTTTAATTCTGTTAAATACAACCAATGAAATGTTAAATCTAATAATTCTTGTCTTGGAGTGAAGGTTTTAAAAATGGGATCAGAAAAAACATCTTGAAATAGTGACTGATGTGATCCTACAACAGTAAAGACGAAAGAAACTATTGCATGTTTACTTCTTTCTTAGCAGCAAATCCTTTGTCTATATTTGATCATACAAATTCTGGCTTCCTGTCACACCTGGGTGGAAGCTGATCATAGCTCCCGAAGTAGTGCAGAAGACATTTCATATTTAATGGATGAAGAATCAGGTGTTGTCCATCAATTGCCTGTAATAAACACATGGACAAAATAAGCAACTGTAACAGAATTATATCTCAATGTTTAAATGATGTGAAGAAATGGGAACCCCTCACGATACACGCTTGAAAGTAATGAAAAGAAGAAAAACTAAAACAAATCACCATATAGCAATTGGTATCTGTTTTATTGACCTTCCATACTTACCCATTCTTCCTAAGATTTAGTGGTCCTAACAAGATGACCAGGGTCATCAAAACAATGCAATGATGCAAAAATAGAACACATGCTGCTATAGATGTGGAAAACTGGAAATCATATCAAATAGTTTTATATCAGTGTTTTAAAAGCGCAAGGCACAGGGGCCAATTTGCGCCCAAGGTGAGGTGCGCCCCTTTTTTGAAGCAAGGCACAAAATTACAAAAAAAATCAGAAAATTAAAAAAAAGCCAAAAAATTCAAAACAAATGCAAATAAACAAAAATATTAAACATAATATTAATAAGAAATATAAACTTAAATTTTAAAATCAATGTTTTAAAAAACCTATTATCTAAAATTAAAATACATAAACATAACGTGTAAAGCATATTCAAATGAAAATTTAAAAATAAAATAAAACACAAAACATTTTCAAGCATGTAAAGCCCTCAAAAATAGCTAATGTGGTGTAAAATATATTACATTCCTGATTCTACGAGTCGTGTTTGTGCCACGCCCCTCGAGGCAAGCCCAAACAAGTCCATGTTAGGGTCTTAAATTCTTAATTCTTATAATCATCATCTAAACCTTGGCCTAACTATATGGGGTCAGCTACATGAATCATGTTCCGCTATTCCTTTTTGTTCAGTGCCAAATCATTCAATAAATTATGGCACTTAAATAATTTCTTATTATTTCCTCCCAAGTCTTTTTTGGTCTACCCCTAGCTCTTCTAGCCGCTTCAATCTGTAACAGATCACTATTTTTCTAGCAGGCCCATGCACACGACCAAATTGTCACAATCTACTTTCTCTCAATTTTATCACCCCATTGGAGCTACTCCTAGGTTCCTTCATGTGACTTCTAGTTTTGATTCTGATGCATGTTTTTTATTCCCTTTTCCCACTGCCTATGTTGAAAACTAGAAAGTAAAGACAAATAAAAAGCCAAAGAACCATTACTTTCTATATATCACTCACCTGGTAGAAAATATAGGAGTCCCTCTCTGTTACATCTTCATAGCCAGTTGATTGCTTTCGTAGAAATTTCCTCTCTTCAGATGGGGAAGATATCACTCGTTCTTGACCTTCAATTGATTCAGACACATCAGCAGTTTGAAACAAACTATCTTTTTTGTCTAGTTTTTCTGGGCTTGAACTATCCAACAATTTTGGTTCACCCATGAAACCACCACCAATGAATGGCATTTCACATGAAGATCTACCTGCTAAAATTACAAGACCAACTAAATCAGTGCTCCAATTGAAAATAAATGGGACTCCATTTTACTGTTGATGCATTTACAGACCCTAGTATTAGAATAAGAAGATATACCACTTCTTAAAGCCAGATCACTCCTGCAAGCATGTTGCTCGGTCCAGCATTTCTTTCTCTGCTGTAGTTGTTCAAGTGCTGCACAAACATATGGAAGCTTCTCTAAATCATCAACCAGGCCAGACTCTGCTCTAGCTAACCAACCATCTAGTTCTGATTTTGCTTCCCTGGTTGATAGTTCCACATCTAATGTCAATGTGAACTTGGAAAAGGAGTCACAGAGTTCATCACTGCTGCAAGGTAAAGATTCTTTTCCCAGCTGATTTTTCTGAAAGGGTACTACTGAATCTTTTGCTCTTGTTAGAAGTGCAAATTTCACATGGTCACCAACACAGTACTGCTCTACATTTTCAATATAGATGGTATATAAATCCCTTGAAGATATCATCATAAAACATAGGGGGCATTTTTTCCAGCATTCACCTTTATGATCCTCCTCACCCATTAGCAAGTACTGCAAAATACAAGGGAAGCAAAATATGTGACCACATGAGGTTATYTGTGGACACAAAGGGCTTTCCAAGCAAATGGGACAGCGCACAGTGAGTGGTGTGAAGTATCTCACACAAATAACATCCTCCCATTCTAACATTTTATCTGGATCCCTTGACTCAAGCGCATAGTTTCCAGAGTCTAACACAACAAATTTATAGTTTGCCTGAAGGAATAGATCTTTATTGTAAGGCTTTATCTTGTGCTGCCTCCTTGGAGGAGGAATCCTTGGTTGAGGACGAGAAATAGGATCATAATGAAAATTCAGCAAGTGGTTAGCACTCATCATCTGGTTTTTTCTTATTGCTGAATGTGTGGTACTGCTAGAAATATTGGCAGACCCGGATGCGGGGTTTTGTGGAGAACTGGCAGCTCCAAACACTTTTCCATTGGGTTGAGCAGATCCAACATGATCACATCTCAATATCCCTCCTTGATTAGATGTACGACACTGAGGACAGGCACTGTGGCTTTGGTGAAATGATATTTTCTTACCATCAGGTGTTCTTAAGTCATTCACCTGAAGAAAATAAAACATAATATATATGAGGGCAAACCCATGATCATGGAAAGGAACATAAGAAGAAACCGGTAAAAAATCTAACTACTCCCACAAGTTACCACCATTATTGTCTACAAATGTGGCTAGAAAAGAAATTTGATGTTGAATGTACATTTGTGCCTCTACTTTTTTTTTTTTGTAGCAAGTGCATAACCCACTAATACATTATGCGACTCAAGCACTTCCAAGAACCAAGGGGAGCACCAAAAAAATTTAAACATGTCAAATTCTTCTTGTCTGTGTAATAATGCAAGGTATACACATTGAGCACCGGTTACCATTTCAAAATGAGATATATAGCTTCCTTAGTGGAATATGTGGAAAACAGGGAAACCATGGAAGATAGTTTCCTTTTTTATAATATAAATTGTTCTAAAAAAGGAAAAGAAACATCAAACAAAAAGTTAAAACTCAGAGCACTTTGGATTCCAACATTACCTTCTTGGAAGATCCACCACAACCTGTTCCAGCAGAAGGCATTGGATCTGCATAAAAAGAAATTGTATAAGACATGCAAATGTATTCTGATTTCAAAGATAGGCACCAAAATGCAATTCAAAAGGAAGCAAAGTAACAGCAATAACTACCCAAGATTTTAAAGATCCCAACTTATTGGGCTGTACCGGCTGCTAATACATACCATTCCCGCCAATCAAGAAGAGAGAGGGAAAAAAGAACCACCTATGTAAGCTAAGAAAAATGAGGTATATTCATCTCTTTGAGTAAATTTCCATTTCTTTTAAGTTTTCAACTTCAAAAAATGGTGAAGAACTCTATATACACCTTATTAATCCTAGATTGCTTCCCGAAGAATGGCCAAGTTTTTGAATATTTAACCACACCGCTTATGCGGCAAGGATAGGAAAAATAATCGACAGGCCTCTTTATAAAAAAAAAAGAAAAAAGAAAAAAAGAAAAGTCTAAAATTCTTTCTGAAATCAAATAAAAGATGAATAAACTGAAATTCAACTATAACAGAAACTCTGAATCTTAAGATATTCCCTTACAATAGATAAATAAATAAAAATATAAAACAAAAAATAACTCAATTGTAACATTCACGAAAACCTAAGGTTCAAAGGTGCAACAAAAATTGCACCAAACTCACACTATCATCCCAGACTGGTTCATATACCATTGAAAAGAAAACTAAATGGGGAAAACAGCAGACTAAATGGGGACAAAGACCAAACTAAGAAATCAAGTAACAGAGAATCCCTACTCCCAATTGGAGAAAAAATAGAAGCCAAAAAACTGAAAACCCTCACCGGAAATCCCGTCAAAGTGACCGGACGAAGTGTCGGAAAAGGGGATCTCCATCGATCCAAGAGTCTGACTGTGGGTGGGGACAGCGGCTCGAGACTCGATACGTTCTGGAGCTTGAAGGAGTCCATTATCGGAATAAGGGCTTTGAGAGAGAGTTCGAGATGTAGCCGCTTCGGAACTTTGGGCGTAGGTAGGCGAGATGGACATGAAAATTTACGAAGAAACAGGAGCGTTTGGATTCAGCCACAGCTGGTAATTGAGAAGAAGAAAAAGGTTGATCTGAGCGAAAACTACGATCTATATAGGGCATCTTGCGAATGCGAGGGAATATCCCAATTTCTTTATTTTTTATAATAAATCCAATTTCTGAATAAATAGGTGCTCTTAAATGACTAAACTGCCCTGCAGAGTAAAACAAAATGACGAAATAAACTCCAAGTTTGCACTCTCGACTCTTTTCGTAACTTCAGTTAGGCTCCGTTTGGTTTGTGGGAAGATGGGATGGGATAAGAAAGTGTAAAAAATTATCTTTTCATGTTTAGCTTTATATATAGGAAAATAATAGGAAAACATTGTTACGAGGGAGAAGAGAAAAGAAGGTGAGGGAGAAGAAAGAAAAGGAACATGGAGGGAGAGACAACGAACTCCTTGAAGCTCTGATTTGTGTTTGCAAACCCAGATCTAAGTTCTACTATGGCAAAAAACCTCTGATCTAGGTTATACCATGGTGAAAACATCTTCAACAGTAGTTACCAGCAACAGCGATGTTTGTTAGCAATAGCAGTGGTTACCAGTAGTGGCAGTGGTGCACCAGCGGCGGTGGTAGTTACCAGCAACAACGGTGGTTACCAACAGTGGCGTTGGTGCAGCAGCAACGATGGTTACCAACAACGGCGACGATGGCGCAACAACAGCAAGGCAGGAGGATGAAGATGAATAAACTCGAGTTTTCTCGAATTTTTCCACCAGGGTCACACGTTTTGGTGCGACCCCAATTCCACAATTTTGCAATCTTGCATCCCACTTTTTTCTCATTCCATCTCCCTATTTCCCTTGAAACAAATGAGAGAAAAAAATGAATATTCCTTTTTTCTCATCCCCATCCCACAAACCAAACCGAGCCTTTTGTGGGATGATTTGGGTGGGATGGGATGAGATGGGATGAGAAAGTGTAAAGTTTTCATTTTCCATCATTTGATTTATGAGAAAATTATTGAGAAAAAACATGACATAAATCAGAATTGAAAATAAAACTATTTAGCTCCAAAAATCAGTTGTCCCTCTAAAAAGTTTCAAACTCATTGAATCCATAATTTTTCACATAACAACGGACCATTGCTATCCATGAAATGGCATTTGTGAGAAGGCACTTTAACCCACTTTGTCCTATAGTATCATGATTCATAAATTCTTTTTCTTCCTGTAGTGATTTCAAATGCCCATAGGCTCCAAATTAGATGATAGAGATCACGACTGGTGACATGGGCTTGGATGAGACTGTTCCAAGCGAAGGTGTTTGACAGGGAATTTGGTCGAACATATGGTGGGTGATTGCAATTTGTCAGGTTTAGAGGAGATTTAAAGCTGGGCTTCAACATTACTGGCTTGCCAAAGTTGGGATTCGTTCATTGGTTTTGGGCTTTGAACATTGTATCTGTTACAGTTGAAGGGCATCTATTTGTTCTATACTTGGATAAATTCTGAAAATAATTAATTATCAGAATGAGTTGAGTGCATTTGGAAATAATTTATGAAAATCACAATTTTAATCGAAGGAACGATAGTGATGTTTGGAAACATTTGGTGGAAATCATTGTATTAGGAGAACAGTAATATCCATGTAGTAGACAGGGGAGATAACAGAGTACGAGATGGAGAGTTGAAGAGAAGAAAGGAGCTCTGTTTTTTCAAGAAAAAATAGGTTATATCTTGATCGAAGTAAAATGGTAGAAGGAAATCAAACGCTGAAGAGAGAGAGAGAGAGAGCGAACATTGGCATTGGTTGTCGGAAACCATGGCAGCCAGCCCCACTGTGATTGCAGCATAGGAAGTGAAGACAACCATCTATCTGAAAATGTCACCGGAAGCTTGGATGTTGCTATTGGGCATAGGAGGTGGAGAAGACAGACAACAAACTCTTTTAAAAAGCAAGCCTGATACTCTTTCCCTTTATTTTTCTCACCGGGATGGCACTGTTTTTGTCCGACCCCAAATCCCAGTTTTTGAGAAAGTACGTCTCCCTATTTTCCCATCCCATTTTCGTGTGTCTCACAAAACAAACATGGGAAAGTGGAATATTTTAGGAACATTCTATCTTTTCCACCTCTTTCTAGCAAATCAAACAGAGCCTTAGGGTGAGCATTATTCGGTTAAAACCAATAATGCAAAGATTCCAAATCAAAATTTTCAGTTCAATTTTTTGGGTTTTGGGTTAAATTAATTCGAGTTTTGGTTTTAGTTTTTATAATTAAAATTTGATTAATTGAATTAATCAAACTTTCTATTATTATATATAATATGTAATATATTACATATTTTGTATTTATATATAATAAAATAAAATTTGATTTCATAATATATATTTTATAATATACACTATATAAAATAGATAATATATTATTAAAATTCCCGAAATAAATGAAAACCAAACTGAAAATTTTGGTTTCGGTTATTTCAGTTTTTTCTATGATTTGGTTTTGGTTCTATTTTCAAAATTTTGGTTTATTCAATCCAGTTTTTGGCCGAATAAACCAAATGCTCACCCCGAACTTTAGTGTAATCTTGCACAAGTCCAAATTTCCTACCCACATAACATCACAACTAGCCACACATGGGGAACATCTCGTCCTCTTAAATGTTACTATGCATGGGGAGACATTCCCAATGCACGGAGTAGTGTTTTGTGGGTAGGCATGGGTAGAATTTTTAGAATATTCTGCTACCCTTCACATGCAATTYGTCACAATAGAGAAGGATATCAAAACATATTTACAACAAGGGTAAATTTCTTAAACCTCCCTTGAAGTTTGGTAATGGAATCACCTCCCCTTAACTTTTTGATATAGTTGCAAGTAAACCCCCTTGTTAGAATCCTCTAACATAGCCATGAAAATGTTTAAAATATCCATGCAATTACTATTAAGAAGGATGGTTTCCATGGAAAAAAATACAAACTTTATGAACAACTAAAAAAATAATTTATAGTTGCACACATTTAAGTGATTGATGTGATGGACAATTTTGAAAAATAAATCAATTTCAAAAAAGATATCGTAAGGGATTATGGTAGTGATTCATATGGAGAGAAATTTTGGAAAACAAACATTACATGGATATTATAGACATTTTCATGCTTGTTGTTAGAAGATTCTACCAAAGGGGCATATTTGCAACCATGTCAGAAAGTTCAAGGGATGTGGATACAATTACCATACTTTAGGAGAGGTTTTGGCAACAACTAGAAACTTCATGGGGGGTTTCACCAATTTACCCTTACCATAAAGATAGCTGTGCAATTAAATAGTTCTAGTCAAATTTAAATTGGGTGGATTACTAAAGCATTCCCTAAGTTTTTGGTTGTAGCTGAAACCTTATCTGAAGTTTGATAACTGTAATCACCTTCCCTAAAATTCCTTACATATTTGCACGTAGAACCCCTTCATTATAATCTTCTATAAATTATGCATGAAAATGTATAAAATACCCATGCAGTTACTTTTGATTTCTATATTTTCTCCTCATATGATTCTCTAGCCTAAGCCCTTCTGATTTTTTTATGAACTTGATTTGTTTTCCAAATCTACCCTTCATATCAATCATTTACACTTAGCTTGGAAGGATTACAAATATGAATATATAGAGTACAACACCTTGTATTTTGTATTATTTTATATATATTTGCACTGTACATATTTGTATGTGTACTATTTCCAAATTGAGCCTTAAAGGCGAAGTTGCAACTTTAAAGTTTCTTTTTTTTTTGTTGTTGTTGTTTATAAAATTTGTATTGTTTTTTCCATAGAAACCAGCCACAATAGTAATTGCATTGGTATTTTGGATATTTTTATTCATTTGTTTAGAATATTCTAACAAATGGGGTCTACTTGCAACTATATCAAAAAGTTCAAGGGACATGATTACAATTATCAAACTCCACGGAGGTTTCATCAATTTACCCATTTAAATTTATGGCTTGTACCAAAACCAATTAACTAGTGTAAGGGTATTGTGGAATAATGGTAAATATTTAAGTTATTATTGAATTTATTTTTTTTTATCATCTCCATCAAAATCAAGCCAAGTATCTACTTTATAATAATATATAAAATGCAAATACAAATGACGATGATGATGATATAGAAAATAGATTGTTTAAAACTTTACCTTATTGTTTTTTTGACTTTTTGCAAAAAAATTATCCAAGTTTTGGTCAATTGACAATTTCAATTACGTTTTAAAAATAATAGCAAATTGAGTGAGCGGGAGGAAACATGAAGTTTTTATGACAAAAATACCCTTTTGTTAAAAACATAATCCACTGAATCCAAAGCATTCATGTTTCGTTCGTTCGACTCCATCCATTCAAACTACGACTAGCTGTAAGCATCTCCAAGTTTGAGTTCGACTCTATCCATTCAAATTGCAGCTAGTTAGAAGCATCGACTCCATCTATTCAAATGACTTCAGATTGGAAAGCATCGATTCCATCTGGTTGGGAAGCATCAACTCGATCGATTCAAACTATGGCTGGTTGAGAAGACTCCATCTTCTAAGCAATATCCCTCCTAGTTCGAGTTCGAGTGATTTGGGGTCCCATTCTTCGTCAAAGTTCAAGTTCAGGCAATTTGGGATCCCATTCTTCGTCCAAGTTCGAGTTTGAGTAATTTGGGGTCCCATTCTCCAAGTTCAAGTTCAAAATTACTATTTGATTGTTTGTCTTCTTGCAAATTTCACAGTTAGCATGAAGGGGTTTTTTCTTCTAACATCGATTTGGGGTCCCATTCCCTTTATTTCTTTTCTTGTTTCTTGTTTCTCCAACTCTTTTTAGTTGGCATGGGGAGATTTTACATAATTTATTTTTTTCTTTGTTGTTTAAGTAATACAAATACTTTGTTGTTTCTTTGATGTGATTCATTGGTCAAATTTTGATTGTGTATTCTTTTGTTTAAATGATGAAAGAAATCCCTTCATCTCAAAATGTAAGTAAATGATGATTTACTTGAGTATTTGCACAATGTAAGTAAAATAAACAAGACTTTGAAGTCAATAGAAAGTTGGAAATGAATGGTTGCCAACAATCCATGATCAATTAAAGCAATTAACATTGGTTTCTTTTGATTTCTAGTACCTTGTTTCATGATTCTTCGTTCTTTTGGTTGATGGATAACTAGTTCCATTTGTAGTTACTAATTTTTAGTGCTATAGAAAGTTAAACTCCCACCTATATGATGAAATGCCTAAAAGGAGAAAACTTTGGTTGTTGAAAGCTAATAGCCTAAGTTGTTGGGAACGGTCATGGGCATGGCATGCTAATCCATTCAAACCCTTGCTAACATTCACAATAGCCAACACCTAAATTTAAAAGACTACAATTAACCAAGAATATTATCACTTCTGATTTATTTCCTATTTAAATATACATAAAGCCCTTTTCTTCAAAGAAGCTACAATTTCGTTTGACCAAAATATCAGCATATAATATCTTATAAAATGAGTTAATATACATAGGACTTTAGAACTTGAATTATATAAATGGCAACCATATGATGATTTGAATGCTAAAGAAATCCCAATAAAGGCAGATATTTATGGCCGTGCACAAAACATGGCTTGTGTGCTTTAACATCGTGGAATGGCACCTGCCCAATAGATGTATTATGCAATTTGGGTTTCTACGTCTATAAATATGAGAATTATATAGAACCAAGAGGTTCATTGAGTTTTAAATGGCTTTGATGGTGTAACTACCTGCAAGGGGATAGATGTTTAAAACTGTAACTTATGTATCAAAATTGCAAACAATTATTTGGTCTGTTTAGTGCTAGATAATTCCTAAGTCCGTAAACATATGAGAATCATTCAGAACAAAAAGGTTTAGTGGGTTCTAAGTGATTTTGATAGTGTAACTATGATGCGGAGGGATAGATGTTTGCAACTATATTTATGTTTCAAAAAGCATTCAAAAAAATTATGTTTTAAAAGCAAACAATAATCCGGTTTATGTAATGCCGGATGGTTTCCAACTCTATAATAAACCATATAGTCTTCTCCATGCGAATCGTTTATACACTTGTGAGAATCATATACTACCTTATGGAATGTTGGGCTTTAGATGGTTTTGAGGGTGTAAATACTATTTCATCACTCGAGGGGCTGAAAGTTACAATTGCAATAAACCATCCAGTCTGTGTAATGCCGGATGGTTTATACACTTGTGAGAATCATATACTATCTTATGGAATGTTGGGTTTTAGACGATTTTGAGGGTGTAAATGCTATTTTATCACATGAGGGGCTGAAATTTAAAATTGTAAATGCTACAATTGAAAATTCAAAATTGCAATAAACCATCCGGTCATAATGTCGAATGGTTTCAAACTCTATAAAGCACTATCCAGTCTATGTAATGCCAGATGGTTTCCAACTCTATAAAACACTATCCGGTTTGTGTGATGTCGGATGGTTTCCAACTCTGTAATAAACCATCCGGTCTTCCCCATGCCAGATGGTGCCTAAATCTGTTAAACACCACCCAAGTAGCTCCATACCAGATAGTCTAGGCACAAAATATGTTATTGTTTGTTGATCATATAAGTAGATATGTAGTTTGGGTATTAATCATAGAGATAAACACCATGAGTTTTACTCAATTGTAATGCTGTTTTAGCCAATCTAGCATTATCATTCACCACTTTCCTCTAGTATGCTTGCTTTGAAGATGGAGTCGATGCTTCCCAGCCATTCGTAGTTTGAATCGATGGAGTTGATGCTTCCCAGCCAGATGGAGTTGACACTTCCCAACCTGGAGTATTTGAATGGATGAAGTCGATGCATCTCAGCCAGCTACAGTTTGAATCGATCGAGTCGATGCTTCCCAATATGAAGTCATTTGGATGTTTGGGGTTGATGCCTCCAGCCAGCCATAGTTTGAATGGATGGAGTCGAATTCGAACTTGGAGAAGCCGAACGAAACATGAATGCCTTTTGGATTCAATGGATTATGTTTTTAACAAAAAGGTAATTTTGTCCTAAAAACTTCATGATTTCTCCCACTCACTCAATTTGCTATTATTTCTAAAACATAACTGAAATTGTCAATTGACCAAACTTGGTCTTTTTTTTTTTTTTTGCAAAAAGTCCTTGCTTTTTTTTCTTTATTTGGTAATAAATGAAATTTATTCAAGAACTAAGGAAGATACATCATAGCTAGAGAATAGCAAAGTAGAAAGCCACAAATGAAAATGGTCCCCCGGCAGGATCTTTGGGAAGGAAGCCCTACGAGTTGTATCATGAGCACCTTCAAAGATCGGGGAACGTGTGACAAATTCCAGCCAGAGAGCCGAAGTAACTTGGATCTTCCAACTCAAAAGGATTCACCATAGGATTCTAGATTACAAAGGCTGTTTGAGAGAACCTTATTTCACCCAAAGTTTAGTGTGACTAGAATCTAACACCCATTCTAATTTCTACGTACGGCTAAATGAAGTTATTAACTGCTCGGCATTCTGCATTGTTAGCCGAAAGACATTGAACTTTTTGCCTCTCACCCCTAGCACTTAACCAACTTCATTGCACAGGACACACTTAGATGGTGTTTAGAAGCGTGAGTGTTTTTTGGAACCGATTTTCACAAAAAAAAAAGCATATGCTTGCTAAACCCGTTTTTACAAATAAACACCTTCGTATATTTGATAGTGTTTCTGCCACATAGGCAGTAAATAACACTAATGCTGTTTGGTGAGATGATTTTCATCACCATTTTTCATGTATATGCACACTTTACACCGTTTGTCCATTGACAACTAGGATACACGTAAACACCGCATCATATAGCCATTGGGGGCAATGATTCGTCGATGCATGAACGTTTCATGCAACAGGAGGGATGCAATTTACAATGCATGCCAGTTTTTTACTGTTTTTTTTTTTTTCAAATAGGCATATAGGCGGTGATAAATGGAATCACCTACATGGATCCGGAGAAAAAGTGTCTTTTTGGGAGGGTTGTTTCTAGCTTTACAAGGTGGACCTCACATGGAAAGCAGCAGCTATGTCCAGTGAAAAACCCGGGAAGCCAAACCCAACATACGCTTTAACTAATAAATCAACTTTTCAATAAGCTAATTTCAGTGGCTTCTTCAACAGGGTTCGGTCAACGCAGCTCAGTGAAAGCTGAGGCCCTCCCAAACGTCCAAGTGGCAACTTGTAAAAGCCATAGCCGCTGATACCGTAATAGTGTAATACCATGTGAGCACAAAATTTACGATTCCCTGCATTGTTTGTTCTTAGGCTTCGTTTGGGAAGACTTTTCTCAAATGGAAAAAGAACAAAGCTCAATCTTTCTCTTCTTTTACTTTTCTTGTTTTGTGTATTGGGAAGCGTGTCCCAGTTCTCCTCAGGGGGGAACCGGATGTAATTGGACCATTCATGATATGCTACATCTGTCTGACATGTCAGACCCAGATGCATGGAGCTGGTATGGTATATCGTGATTGGCCAATATGATTAGCAGTTGCTTACTTGCTTATGAGTCGGTAATTCCAAGCTCTAGACCCACTCGCATGAATTTTGCTATTGAAGGTTCCATAAGATGGGATAAGTTAACAAGTCAATTCAGCTACAAAATAGAGATGGAATTGCATACAACTGCAAAGAAGCCTGAAAGACATTTGGGCACACATGGAAATTGCTTTCTGGATCTAGGAAGAAAGCAACGTGGCTTTTCTTACATTTCAGAGATCATGCATTTGGGATAAAAAGTTTTGATCAAAATCAACAATGAAGGTACGGATTTCCATTGGTCCAAGCTGCATCACTAGCTTTACAGGATCAATAGGTTCTCCTCTCAGCACCTTGGGCTCCTGCTTGGGACCATCTTCTACTTTCCAAACCAGTCTCTTCTTCTCCATTTCTGCTCTTTCTTGATTGGCAGATAAGTTCATCTCTGTTACTTTGCTGATCTGTAGTGAATGAAACAGTAAAACAATGTTAACACAAACATATTTAATTATGAAAAGAGCAGTACAGAGTGGTATGCATCCAACTGTTTCCACCTTTTTATCAGGGAATAGCTTTTTAAGATCGACAGTAGCCATTACTGAAAGGTCCTTGTCCTCTCCAATCTTGCAAATTCAGAAGAACCAATAGTGAACACATTTAGAACATGGCCATTGAAGCCAACGGCCCAAAACCACAATTCTGAAAACTAGGATGAATAAACTGCCATAGTGATTGTAAAACAGTTGCATCCGACTCTATCAAGTCAACACACTGAAAACACCTTAATCAATCAAATATTTATTTGACTTTATGTGCAGTTCATCAATTGTTCATGATTCTTGGGTTCACAAAGTTATCCTGTTTTAGCAATCAATATCATGTTCCTACTACGAAGTTCCATCAGTTAAAACTTGGAATGCCCTGCAATTATTTTGTAATCAAAGTTTCAAAGTTACTGTTATAATTCGGCCTGCCTTTGAGTTCTGTTAGTCTGATAACAGCCAAGAAGAAAGAGGAAGAAAGAGGGAAGAAAGAGAGAGAGAAAGGAGGAGAAAAAGAGAGAAGAAAAGTCTGGTTCGAATTAGGGAAAAGTCACTCTCCCATTCGGCCAAACATGTTTTTATATTATTAATATAATGGAAAAGAC